TGCGATAACCGACTGCGATACTACATCAGCAATGTTCAGAAGGGGTAAAACATCAATATTAAAATTATTTGAAAAAAAAGATTTGATTGATTGTGCTATAGTATTTACAGAAATTGATTCTTCACTTCAAACAATAATCACAAAAGGAATTCGCTTTCTCCTTGCTTTTTATGGAGCTCCAAAAAAATTGCTTGTATAGATAAATGTAGATATATAACTTTTATAAAAAATACACGAAACAAGTACAACTATCTTGTCTTCCTCCAACATCGGCTTCTGCTAATCAACGCTTGTATCGAGTATACTATCAAGTTCAGACATGGCTAGGCAATCAACTGAATCCAGAAGACTGGAGTTGGAAATTAACAGATAATACTTTGGAACCGATTCGAACTTTACTCCCACCTGCTCCGGAAAAACACCTAAACACTATTTTTTGCAATTGCAAAAAAGGTTGTAGTGCTAAATGTGGCTGTAGAAGGGTAGGGTTACTGTATTCTCCAGCGTGTACTAATTGCCAAAGCCAGTCTTGCTCAAATGTCCAATCGAATACAACAGACGAAGATTCATGTGATTTCGATGAAGAGACAGCTGATTCATCTTCATTTGAACAATTTATGAACATCCAACAAGAAGAAGAGGAAGAAGAAGAAGAAGAAATCGAAGAAGACATGACTGTTGAAGTCGACTTTGAAAAGATCAGATTAAAATATTAAAAGAAATCAGAACTACTGTTAAAGTCAATAACCAATGTCAATATCAATAATCATCATGCAGTTAAAAGAGTATTGTCCTTGAAAATTCCATCATAACAGTTCGTGGAGTAGACCTACCAGGGAAACCACCTTAAAAAAAACGCGCCAAAGTACACTACCCCACAGGTGGTGTGGAAATGTGTGCATATTATGTAGAACGTGACTCCTTCAGCTAATAGAATCGCGATATCCGAGGAATGGTGATTCTTAGAAAAAAAGTATAGGGTCCATTCTGTGGATAATTTTAAGATCTATAAATTTTGTCCGGGCCACTTTTTTGATAAAACTTACTGTTTTCGAAAAAAACAAAAAACCTCAAATTTTGACCTTTGACCCCGAATAACTTTTTTAGCACACATGGGATCAATGGCGACTTTTGACACTTTATTTCTAACGGTGTACCCAAAGTCTCCATAAAAATTTAGCTCTGTCGGAATTTTCATTATTTGAAATGTCTATTTTGACCGGACTAAAATAAAAGATTAGAATTAGCAATGAAACTATTTAAAATTAAATGGTGATGCTCTAGTCTACAGCAGCTTTAGAAAACAGAATATAAGTATTTATATCAATAGAAACGTCAAATTTGTTGTCAAACATGACTACTGGCCACTAGTATGTGGACGAGCATTGCGAGCTTTCCCTGGATGGTTACACATCGAAGTACTAACCACTAATTTGGTGAAAATAACGGCAATATCATTACGTCATTGAATTTGGACACACCGTATTCAGGATTAGAGTTGCGATTTTTTTAAAAACTTCCTTGTTTTTAATAATTCGATCATTTTAATCAGATTTCTCCAATTTTCCAATTAGCGAAGCTGAGTCCGCTAAAAAAAACTAGCTCTATAATTATTGGAAATGAAAAAAACCCAGTCGATCAATTAACAGAGTGATAAAGCTCATTATTTTAGACAAAAGAAAGAACGAACGAATTTATTGCAGCCAGGTGCCTGTCCCTAACAGTCTTTGTCACAAATTCAAGCTAAAATTGGCCAATTAACATTTTTAATTGTTTTCTAAGACACATAAGGCGAAACGTTACTAGATAATTTAGAAATTCTTTCATAAATTATAATACATTAGTGGTTTCTTGTATCCTAATAGAGATAATTTATTTCACATTTACTTATTTGTTTCAAAAAATCCCGATATAGAATTATATTCTAAATATGGCTGTGAAAAAATGAACGTATGTAGCAAGAATTCGTATTAATGAACAATACTGTGATTTCATATTTTCCTAGGTGTAAATCAACTGACTTTAAAATGGAAAAATAAATAATTATTCATATAATAAAGTTCAGTGACCCCTGACTAACCATTTATTAACATAAAATTATCGACCTATCTGTAGCTTTCCACTGAAGATAAAAAACAGGATCTGTGAATTTATGTAATAAATTTAATTACAAGAAAACAAAATCTTACTCCACCTAAAAAAAAAACAGATTCTTCAGGGTCGAATAAAATTTATTTATACATTTTTATACACAAAATCCATGAATGGATGTCTCATAAGTTATATATTAATCAAATGCAAATAGGAGGAATTTCCACTACTTTTAATATAGTCATTATAATTATGGACCCACAATTTTGCACAACCTTGCTTCTAATTTTAGCCGATTAATTATCGTCTAAAATTATTATAATGTGGATAATAGAAAAAATCAAGTCTATTAATGACCAGACATTTAGTACCTCGTAGCAAATCCTGTAGATGCTCTAGGATTTCTTGAATAAAATCAAGTGTTTGGCGTTTGTTAACTTATTATCATAATGAAATAGAATAAATAGATATTTTATTATATCAATATTTTCTTTTTTAAGTAGTATTACCAGTTTTCTTGTTTTTTAGTTTTAAAATCAGTTTTCACAGGTTTAATTTCCTTTTTTCTGTCTTTCGTGTGGCGCATTGTAAAAAACATACAAACAATAGCCGAAAAAAATTCTAAATATAATGGAGTCATTCAGTAAACTTTCAAAAATTTTTATTTTGTATACAAAAAGTATTGCTCATGATTAGCGGTTTTCAAGCTATATGAGTTTAAAATGCGAATATTTGTCTCAGAATGCAATGACGTCACCGCATGGGACGGTCAGCCGGCTTGGCGCTACTTCCAGATCTGCATCTACAGAGTGTTTTAGCGTTTGTGCATATTAAATTTAAAAATGGAAGCAAATTTCGTAGAAGCAGATCCTGCTAATTTGCCAAAAGTAGGTTTGTCAATGGTTATGGATTTTTTTAATAAAAACCAGGCATATATCAGTGCTGAGATGAGAGGAGTGAAAATGCAAAGGTTACGTTTCAATAACGCGTAAAGCTTCTTTAAAGTACGTTTGTAGTGAAAGTTTTAATGTTTTTGTACAATAAGAATAGTAAATAAGGATAAGGATTTTACGTTTAAAGCGTTTCTATCACAGGTTTCAAAGATTTACCTAATCAAATACAAAATTGTTATTACTATTTTTATTCCGTGGAAACTACATAAAACTTACCTAATATCTTCCCGTTTCCGTTTCTATCACAGGTTTCAAAGATTTACCTAATCAAATACAAACTTCATATTACTATTTTTATTTCCATGGAAACTACATAAAATCTTCCTAATATCTTATAAATATATGTTATATAAATACTTAGTACCTATAGGTATTTGTATAATATTCACAAAAAAATCTACAATGGAAAACACAAGTGTATAGTGTTTCTAGAGGATACAAACGTATTTATTACATACCTAAATTACGCAGGGTAGTTTTGTTTGCTTTCAAAATAAGTCATTTTTCAAATAAAAGATATTAAAAAGAAAACAAATCAAAGTAAAGACTAATAGACTATTGACTTGACATTATTATTTTCTTAGGCGTCTTCATACTAATGCTCTCAGACTGGGGAGCAATACAATATTTGTAATTTTTTCTGTTCTGTGTTTTCCATATTGCTAACAAAATTTGGTATCTTAATGTACTCAATCAAAACTTAACACGCAACTAAATCCCGGCTAGCCGACTGACTGACAACACACGCAAGCATGCGGCATCGATTTCCCATGCGGTGACGTCACACTCGCCGGTTCAGCGGATACTCAGCGTGCCAGTTTATGATTTTTCTAGGATGACTTGTAGGCGATATAAAATTCAAATTTTTAGCGACGACCCTTAAAATTGCAATCTTTCGGTTAAGCAAATAAAAAAGAATTGTTGAATGAGCCCATTGTTATATTGACGGAAAAAATAATCAGTAAACCCTGAAGAAATAGGAAAACCCATTAACTATAAGAATAATGTTAGGTTAATAGTGATACAGGTTGTTTTAAGAAACAAAATATCAGTTTTAACCGCATCTGATAAAAATGTAATTTGGATAATCACAGCAGTGGTACATATAAAAAAATATAGCTTGATAAAGAGGATATAGTCCTCAAAAAAAAACACCCTAATAATCTAGTAATATTTTATAAACAAATAAAGCAGACACATACCAACTAAGGTCAAACTGTTTCGGCAGCTCATCATCATCGACAACAATGACCATTTTTATTCCTAATATCGAAAAATGTTGCGTTTAATCCAACAACAGAAAATAATGGCTTAGCTCTAACAAAAAAACAATTTCCTGAGCAAAAGCTGGTACCGAGCTAAGTTGATGATGGGACAGAGGAGGCGTTGTCTACTATGAATTGCTTCAGAGGAATATAATTATCGCTGCTGAGGTTTAATGTCAACAACTCCTCTCCTGTTGTGTCCTCTTGAGACAAAACCACTATTCTCGATTAAAAGGTTATTTCCCATCTGCCTCATATTCCTGATCTTGCTCCATCAGATTTCGATATCCTCCACTTCCTCTACTGACAACGTAAAGCTTCTAAATTGACGTGGTATTTTACACTTCCAAAATATTAGATTTGTTCAGGCTTGGAGTAGGAAAACTACTATATCGTAAACAATGAAACGGAATATATCCTTGGTTATCCTTGGTATGTATTTCGCGTATTAAAAAGAAATCTGAATTCGATAAAAAAAAGTTTCGAACTCACTATTATATTACGAATATCATTTGGTATCATTTCTTTGTGATGGAAACGCTATAGAAACGAAAACATTGTTCGAATAGTATTTCCGACGCCTCTACGAGATGTGGAAAATTCCATATTCCATCCTTATTAGCAAGAAACTAACTTCTCGCGCCGCTGGTGCTGATGCGTTGCGTAAAAATTAACCGACCTTTTGTTTCAGAAACAATGTGCCAGACAATACATAGGAGAGGGTCTAAGTCATTAATTGCAATTATTGGCTTGACATTGATTGGATATATTACTGCCTGTGGAAGAACAATACTAAGTGAGTATTAATTTTGATAAATGGTCTTTGCAGCATTATATTATTGTATTTTAATGGAAATGTTACGCTAATTTTTCAAAGGATACCCGAAACGCCGCGCTAATGATACTAAATTATTTTACACGGGTCGCGCCACGTTAGAACTTCCTATACATTACATTTTTTTAAATTCGTGAAGACGGTTCGTCCTTTCTACAACATCTTCTCGCACCGAGACTTCCTACATTTAATTCTGATGCTTCAATGTCACCTTAGGTGTAATATTTCCATTAACATTGTCCCATTTCAACTACTAAAATTTTTATGGCAATTATCTGTCTTGTATCGGCATCATACAGAGTGTTATTATAAAATAAATCAGTATGTTCACCACAGAAAATAAAAAGACTTTCATTTCATTTTCATTTCAAGATACATAAATGGTCTGGGTCAAAACTAAAAAAAAATGGTAATAACTAGGTTGTTTTTTATAATATTGAGTACCACAAACATTAATTTAACGGGAAAATAGGGTTGTTAAAAAATGGCCACTAAAGCCACTGATGGCTCAAATGAATTGTTTTTTTTTTATCATGAATTTCATTCCACAATTTTGTTCATTCTTGTAAAATTTTGAAGTAGGGCTTAATTTTGGAAATATTGCAATTTCTTTCAGAACTTTTTTGTTTATGCTATGCTTACGGTTTTGGATTCTCAAAAAAATGGTGTATTTTAAAATATCGTTTTTGACAATTGGTTTACTTAAAGAGTGACCGCAAAAAAACTGTGATTTTATCCCGTTTTTTCGCAATTCGCAGAGAATTAAAAAAAAATACATAAAAATATGTTTTTAGTCGCAAATTACTTGTCGTAAAAAACTGAAATGAGCATAGCTTTTAGTATTTTGAAAGTTTTAAAAATCGCTCCTACTTAGAGTTTGTAAAAATGCAAAAAATGAAGAATTTGAATATTACCAATTGATATAAAAACTATTAGCATGTGAATTATCTTAATATATTTTTTTTTGGAATTTTTACAATTATTTCTGATATTTTCTATTTTTGGGGACGATTCCACCCCCTGAGCGCGTGCTTAAGGGTGGATTTTCTAATTCAACATGCTTATTTCACACATGAGAATAATTCTTTATATCAAGAATCATTCGATAGAAAAATTCACATGCTGTTTTTATGGTAATATTCAATTCTTTCTTTTGGGCGTCTTTTCAACCCCTAAATAGGGGTGATTTTTGAAAATGTTCAAAAAACTAAAAGCTATGCTCATCTTAAATTTTTACTAGTTATTTGAGACCAAAATCATATTTTTATCTATTTTCTTTGTCACCTTAGGTTGCGAAATTTCCAATTAAAAAATCGCTTCTCCACGAAAATTTTTGGAATATTATGACCGTTTTAGCGAATATGAAACATTTTTCTCCCGACTTTCACGCAGACAGTTTTGTAGTATTTATCAAAACGAAAATTTTCAGCTGAAAAAAATTTCGTAAAATATCAACTTGTGCCATGTAGGACCACATTTGCGCCGAAAATTAGTTTTTTTTTCATAAAAATCGAATTTTGGAGTCAATTTTCAAAAAAATTAAGACCGAAATCAAAAATCCCAAATGAGGGATCGATAGGGACATTCAAAACGAACATTTTGAAAAAAAATTCACCCGAAACAGTTGAACTATGTGGGGTGTAGAGTAATTTGAATGCGACAGTGGCGTTTCGTCCCACTGTGTGGCGGGGGGTCGGTGGCCTTGGCAGCTGACACGCGTTTTGAACTGTTCAATTATCTACGGAGCCTTGTAGTAGCTGGTGTCGCGTCGATACCTTTCTTTTTTACATCTTCTGTAAATTGTATTCAAAGTGTGTATTTAAATAACTATTTATAAATAGTAACATAATTTACATTAACAACTATTGTTTGGGGAGAAAATGAAGTAAAATGCCAAAAGAGAAAAGAATGTGTGAACGCATTATAAATTCTTGTGACAAATCTAAAGTGACAAAATATTTGAAGAGTCATGCCTCGCCAAGCGCTGAAGACTATATTTTTCTATGAACTTACAGACGCCTTTCAAGCAATATTCCATTAAACAAACTAGAGAACCCCAAGTTCCTTAATTCCGTAAATTGGAATCACTGAACTATCCCTAAATGAACAATTTGATATAATGGATGATGTATAAAAAAAAAGATATAGATGCCAATAATATACACCTAATCAGTAGTACGATAAAGGAAAAAATGCAAAGAATGTTGGAAAAAAATACAAGATATACCATTTTGGAAAACATATGTAAAGGTTTATCTGACACATATCAAGAGCTACCAGCAAATATATTAATATATAGTTCATACCTCAACAATTTCTCATACTCTCCGTTGTCAACAGTAGACGTTGAACAGTCATTTTCCCTACACCAGTGAATATTAAGTGATAAACATCGCCGTTTCAGCAAAGAAAACTTAGAAAAGCACGTAGTAATATGTTTTAACTCCTTCGAATATGCCACAGAAGCCTTAAGGTGTATAGGGTAGGTGGTGTCATTACGTATTTTATTCTCTACCTTAACCTTACTCTTTGGTAATGTTGCGCCATATTTTTTGTAAAGATATTAATATTTTCATTCGTAATCTAGTTGGCAATCCATGGCCTGCTTTAATCAATTTATAATACCAATAATTTTTCATACACTCTTGAAGTTTTAAATCTAGGAGGCATTGAAAATGTCTGAAAAGAACTAAATATGCTGGAAAATTGGTTATTTTAGTTTTTTGAAATTTGTATCCACAACTGTCAATTTTTTTTATTCTAAAGAAAAACAAATAGGTACTGTCTGAATTTATTTATTTTTTGTAAAACAAATGATAAAGTATACCACTCATACCAACAGATCAAGTAGCATTTTAAGATTAGGGTAGATATTAATAATAATAATAATAGTAGTAGTAATAATAATAATAATAATAATAATAATAATAATATGGTCTTTATTGCATTTCAAAAAAGTGAGTATAACAAATAAATCAAAATGAGTGGCGATATCCAACAGAGTTGTTCAATAAAACCACCCTAATACAAATATAATTCCAAATGAAAAAAACAATATAAAAAATATTTCAAAAAATAAAGTAATACATTAACAGCAAAGATAAATTACTTCAATTTTTTTAACTGAAATGAAAAATTGTTTTCGCCCAAAGGATATATGGCCTGAGCTGCCTTTTTGGAACACCCAGTATAACCCTTCAAAAGGAAGATTTAGCTGCTTGTTGCAATATTAAAAATTAATATTATAATAGGTCGTGACAAATTAGTTCTTGCATTGCGAACTTCCGGTTCTCCTTATCGCGTCGCAGATCTCTTTGTGGCTGATAAAATTCCAAGCAGGACCGAAATGACGAATGCCGGCTATTATCACCCGAATACGATGACATTTAAAAATCCTTGATATTCTCCTTTTCGACGACGGCGAGTCTGTAGATTTCGCACTGATAGGAGACGTATGGCATTGATAACGTCTTGTTCCTGCCCAAATCGCGAGAGAAACGCATTCGGATATTTATTGAAGCAATTAAAGAAAGTTATTAATGACGCCGTTAATGCACGCCAATTACAGGAACGGACGGCGACAAAAGAACCGTTTAGTGCCGTTTAGTGGGAGTTAATATATGCAGAACAGCGAATTGAATGTTAAAACAATTTGTTTGCGCGCCTTTATCTCGCCATTCGCTAATAGAGCCATTAATCTAAATGAGACAAACCAAGAAACCGTGACGAACCATTAATTCCCATCAGGACATTCTTACGGCAGTTCAGGTGCGTCTATCGAGCCGATTGGAAGATTGGAGAAGTAATTTGGTTTAAAATGTTTCATTTGCATTCTTGAACGGATCTGATTAAGAAGACACGCGAGTTGACCAGGTCGTAAACAGCGATTCACTGTTTTGATAAGACTTATTCAGATCGTACTCTGCTAAATAAAAGATTTAACTAAACATAGGTACCTCTATCCCAAGTTTCTTTGTTTTGCCGCCAGAGCGCGTCAAAGTAGACGGAAAGATGTTTTTTGTTTTTCAAATATCTTTGATACACTAATACATTCTTCCATATAGATGTCCTCTAATAAAAAATGCCCTTTCCCTGATCTAATTCGCTTATAATTTTGGATCATCAAGGATCATGCCATAACTTCTATTTTTTTTGTCTTATACTCCAGTCGGCAGAGGCCGAAAAGGAAGACAGGAATACTTTAAATAATGAGTACAATAACAGGCTAATTTGCTGACAAAGTATTTTATCAGGAAAAAAGTTATTAACAATTTAATCGTGAAAAAATTTTTTTTAAGTAGTTTTCTTTAAATAACTCAGCGGGATGACTTTGTACGAAAAAATGCTTAGGACATGATTTTCTTCGCAATAAAAATAGCTACAAAATGGCGGTGGTCCGATTACGAAATTTGCAACAACAAAGTTGCGAAATTGAAAAAACGGTAAAAAACGTCAATTTTTTTTTAAGTTGCTGTAAAAATGTCAATTATAAACAAAAAATGATAAAACTTTCGAAAACTATAGTTCAATATACATACAATAATGACGCTAAAGCCGAAAATCATGAGAGCAAAACTTTTTGTTCTATAAGGCGTTATTCATTCATCGGCATCTGAAACTCGAAACTTTGCCAAATTTGTTCGAAGCTTTACTGACACTTGAAATTTAGTACACACATAGTGTAAATATGCAGAAACCAAAAGCAATTTGCAAAATTCAATTATCTTCATTTTTGCTGTTTTGGAAAATCAGCGACTACCTAGTTTGCGAATAATGCGAAAAGTATCAACATTTGTAGGTTTTTTAGCTCAATACATGCCCATAAGGCTTGTAAAATTTGAAATTGATCGGTCGAACCGTTTTCCTTTCCTAAGTCATCATTCATGATTAAGGTGAAACAAATTTTGCTTTAATTTTTTTACAATTTCGCCGTAAATACTCATCAAATATCGAAAATAAAAAAATTTAAACTATTGAAAAAAAAAACTAATTTTTCACAAATTATTTTTCGACATTGAAATATTTAATGTAAAAATGTATAAAAAGATAAAACGCAAAAAAAATATAAATAATTTTGAAACATTTAGGTAATTGTTTCTTCAATAGAACTTTTTCAAAATTTTGTATTTTTTTCTCATATTTGATGAGTATTTAACATTTAAATTGTGAAAAAATTAACGTAAAAAAATTTGTTTCATTTTAGGAAATTATTTTTTTACATTTTTTGCTACCGCAAATGTGTGACTGAGACTCACTCTTGAAACTTGAAGGCTTTATAATCTAGGTGGTAATATCTAGACTCTAGAGTCTCTAGCTAGACTAGACTATCGATCTAATACAAGAAGTGTATGATAAATCAGTTCTCAATACCTCAATCTGTGATTTAACATATTATGTCTACTTTTTTCAACAGACGCACACTGGGAAATATTGGACAAAATTCTCGCCACTCGCCAATTTTCATCGTCTCGTCGTGATTTTTTTTTAATAATCTCGTGGTAATCTGAATTTTCATATTCCGGTGAGGTTTTTTCCAAAAACCCTTTTTTTTGTAATGCTTAGGGAGCGCCCCAACCTCAATGTAGAAGAAAAAATTTTTAAATACTCGATGTTCAGTTGTAGAAAAAAAATCTCTGTACAATAAAGATATTTTTCTTTTTTTTTTTATTAATCCTTAATTTAGTGAGTTTAATCTTAGTTAATGTTGGTTTTGAGGTTAGGTTTTTTGATTCAAATTCATGGTTTGGGTATAACATGTTACCTAGGGTTCTATTGAATCTCTTTCGTACTTCTGGCATGTAAAAAAACTTTTTTCCAATGTAAATTTCGTTTAAGGCTTTTAAGTTAGAATTAATAATTTTGAGGTTAGGTTTTTGAAGAAAAAACATCAAATATATCACCAAGGGTCATAATAATCAATTTTATTAATAGCAGATACTTTTTAAACATTTTTTTCTACAACTGAACATCGAGTATTTAAAAAATTTTTCTTCGACATTTTGGTTGGGGCGCTCCCTAAGCATTATAAAAAAAAGAAAACCTCACCGGAATATGAAAACTCAGATTACCAGGAGATTATTAAAAAAAATCACGACAATGAAAATTGACGAGTGGCGAGAATTTTGTCCAATATTTCCCACTGTGAGACGTAGCGAACATACCTATATGAAATTAATTTGTTTAAATCAGCAGCAAACACCAAACAATTGAAAATTTTGCACGTACCACTGACCTATTGATATTCTACACAAACCCATACATTTCCATTAGAACAATGTCGATTGTAGCTTGTAAAATCGTTATTATTATATTTTACTATCTGTAATTTTCCTTTGCCTTGTTCTTAGGAGCCGGCTTATCACATGGGGACAGACAGTTGATATTGGACATGCACAATGCCATGAGGCAGTCCATAGCTCTAGGTCAAGTAGGAGGACAACCACCTGCGACCAATATGATGGAGATGGTGAGTAAGGAATGTAAAGATTGACCGATACGTGGGCGATGCAATATCTTTCACTCTCTTAAATACAATTAGTGAAAATTGCAGAGGCGTGCGAAAAATCATCTCGTCGCTTTTTGTCCATCTCACCCGTGCTTCAGTAATAAGACTGGACTTAAATATATTTTTATACGACTGCCTTGCAAAAGGGGGTTTTGTGCACGGAAAACACGCTCTGAAAACGGTATTTTGCACACGCCGTGTGCTAAACAATTTGCACGCGGTTATGTCATCTTTGCACACGCGTCCAGATTGTGATTTTTGTTTAATGTTGTCACCCAAATTATGCAATGTTTCAAGTTGGCTGAGTTTCATAGCAACCGTCACGGCTCCTTTATTTTATTGATTAGATACTTCAAAAAATTGTTGAATTCCCGAAGTTTGGTTGTGAAAATGTGTGATTCTGAAGAGATTTTACAGAAAGCAAGCGAAATATGTTCGGAACTGCTGCCCACAAAATCCAGAAGCAGGTATGAAGCTGAGTTAAGCCGCTTTATGGACTGGCGACTAGCCAAAAATGTCCAAACTTTCTCAGAAAACGCAGTAATGGTGTATTTTGAAGAACTAGAAATATAAATCTTCGACGTTGTGGACGATTTTTTCGATGCTCAAGTCAACGTTAAGTGCCAATCACAACATAGATCTTGGAAGCTATAAAAAGTTGCAAGCGCTAATCAAACGAAAATCCGAAAACTACGTCCCAAATCCTCACAGAAGATGATTTTTGCCGGTTTTTGACGAAAGCATCAGACGACAAATATTTACTTATCAAGGCGGTGGTGGCAGTTGGACTATCTGTGGCATGTCGAAGGGAGGAATTAAGTTATCTCAAAATAGAAGACACCAAAGATTTCGGCAGTGCTATGCTGATTAAACTGAAGAATACAAAAACAAAGGTACCAAGGTATTTTACAATTACAGGAAACCTTTACACTATCTTAAAAAAGTACTGTGCTCTTCGTCCTCCTAATCTGAAGACAGGCAGGTTTTTTTTTAACTATCAAAACGGAAAATGTTCAAGCCAAAACGTTGGCATCAACAAAATTGGAAACATGGCTAGGGAAATCGCCAAGTTTTTGATGCTAGAGAATCCAGAAAGTTACACGGGACATTGTTTTCGGCGTTCATCGGCCACAATTTTAGTCAATTCTGGCTCAAATCTGCTTGCCCTCAAACGCCATGGAGGGTGGAAATCCAGTACAGTTGCCGAAGGCTACGTTAATGACTGTTTGAGAAATAAAATGGAAGTTTCGAAAAAGATAGGGTCTTCAGTGTCTTCTGCTGCCACAGAACCAGAACAACGATCGTCTACTGGAATACAACAAGAAAACAACGACTGCACGCTAAAAAACTGCACTAAAAACACGATACCAAAAATATTCTCTATTACCGAAAACAAGGTGCACAATAATACTGCTTTTCCCAGCGTAACCTTGAAGGAATGTTCAAATGTTACCATAAATATTAAATATTACTTTCTTTTGTTAATGCGTTAGCAATTTTCTTAATAAAAACGAGTTAAATTAAAAGTTGTATTTAATTTATTTTGTTAATGCGTTGGCAATTTTAGTAATAAAAATGATTTAAATTGAAATTTGATTTTTGTGGTCTCTGATTGCAGTCGTATAAAATGTATCGTAAAATCGGTCCACCAATATGTCTCGCTCGTGTGCAAAGAGTCGTTTTCAAACCTTGTTGTTTGCAAAGACAATAAGGTTTGCTGACTTTAGCTTGTCAAACAAAATTTTAGTCAATTTTAACCCTTTAACAACATTGACAGATGTGTGAAAACAACGGAGTTTATTACTACAAGCTGCATTGGTTATATAAATACTTTTTTCAAGGATATAACCTCGTGCAGTTAACAGCAATAAATAAAATTTAAAAACTAGTTAAAACGAAATGTAAACATGAAACTGGTAGTGTTATAAAGTTGACGTAATTTATGACGCAGGATAATGGATAATACAGAACGATAATAAAGACTAAGATTTGGTAAAAATTTCCTAGAAGTTTCTGTAACGCCTCTTTCTTATATGACCAACAAAATTTCGTAGGAACGCTGTTTACGATTTCACGAAAATATATTTGTATTCCTCCTTCTTCCTATTCCTATTCCTTATCTCACTAAGCTAAAGCAAATGAAACTTAAACCATTAAACAAATGTCTTGAATTACCACACATATCACGGTGACAGCAATGGTTGATATAAGCCCCCACAATTACCCCTAATTACCCACAATTTGCATCCAGGGCCTCCGCCAATGTTACGATGAACTATATTGTTGCACTGTTTATATCCATTGACGATTCTAACATTTTCAACGCCACCTGATGGCGAATACTACAACTGTGAAAAATCAATGTTTTATTTACATCATTAAGTTATGAAAATCTTTTTTGTTTTTTTTTGAGGGGGGAGGGGATATTCGTTAATTGTGAGTCAGTAAAATTATTCCGTTCTCATTTTTTAGGTTATATTTGCTAAATATCCGCAAATAGGTCGAAGAAAATTTTACATTACAACACAAATTGTGTGTAAAATATCGTTCTAGATCTAGAGAGTTCACTGATAGGGAAATACATAATTTCATTATCTTCCAAAAACGATAGGTGCTTAATTTCTATATTATCTCTAAAGTAAATGCACACATACACTGGTATGTAGATCTTTGTACATTGAGTGTAAAAATGTCCTTGAAATAAAACTGTTAAGCAAATATTCTACACACTGTTCCAAACAAAGTACTGGTCACGTAATCATGTATGAATGCTCTGTAGTAGTCATCACATTCACATGTTTATCTTTATTTAAATAAAAATTACATTAATAAACATAATTTTCATTCAATCGTCTTTTTTGACACTCTGACAGAACAATCCAATACATTTTATAGCATAGCACAATTATATTAAGTATAAGTGTAAGTTAAGAGATTACTCGTTTCAAATGCGACGATTGTGGCGCCTCCCGTGGGGATTTCCGAATTGGACTCAAATAATCAACTGCGTATTTGTCTCTACTCTTACAGTTGTAAAAGAACAATGAAATACGTACTTAATATTTTCGCATCATCATACATTTTATCTCCACCATATCTCCAACCCCAGTCAGTTTTTCCTTTTGAACAACTTATCGAGAGTCCCCCGTATTACAAAAGGTTATTGCACCGTACACAACCTATCGCACGGCTCAAAGACGGAGATATGCCCGTAAAACGCCAGACAGCTACAAATTATTTAACGCGAAAGGGAGAGGGAATTGATACCTGAAAAAAAAAGAAAATGACGAAACAACGACACAAGAGTAATAAAGTGAAAGGGAAAAGTGGATCCGGGGTAATGCAGAGAGTAGTAAAAAAAGATTGGTCGGTTCCCGCGCCCGATTGAGTTATTGCCTTTATGCCGTGCGTCGGAATGAAATAAAAAACTTTAGGTATCCTAAATTGCCGGAAAGTTCACATAATTTTTGAGTGGTCCCTAAAATATACATTTCGGAGTTTACAATGAAATAAGAGGCCGTTTAGAACAAGGTAAAACGCAGGGTAGAATTAGCCAAAGGCCCAACTAAAAAACAAAATACAAATATATTTACTTTGGTAACTAATTTTTTAAAATCAATTTGCTTTCAATATCTGTCCACGTCCAACCTCTACTGCTACCTCTTCTACAAAAATTAATGATAATGAAATCTATATCATCCCTCAACGTCACATTTTAACAGAATCCTTATTAATTTTTTACTTTACTTTCGAGAAATTATGATTCTCAAGTGAGAAAAAAAGCGAATACGTCTACAATATTAAATTTCTCCTTTCGGTGTCACGTCATGAGGCCATTACTATTTAATATATTTATAAATAGCAAAGCCCGTATGAATTGTCCACCACTGTCAAAACCTTGGAAAACTGTAGGCAACTTCAAGATAATTTAGACTAATTATCCAGATAAATAATTTGCCAAGCGTGACTTATTTCGTGCCCCAACTATAAACATTCATATGTTTAAAGAAGCTTTTTAAAACTGATAGGTGCATTAGTGTAGTCTCCTTGACTCATTTCCTCACTAGATATGAATACTTTTCACTGATTTTCCGTCATAAAATTGATTATAATTATCTGAACTGAAACTGAAATTATTTTTTCCACTTCAAAATTCCCAACAATAGGGTCGTTATTTTAGATTCCAAAAATTTAATTTGCAATTATTTTTCAGTAGTAAAAGCTTATATTTACTTACAGTAATATAATTTTCAGAAAAAAATGGATCACAAAGGAACAATATCAAAATAAAATTTAAACATTTTCTGTCCTATCTAAAATTCTTGTCTCTCTCGCTGTGACGTCAACTCGTATACCATGCGCAATCGAGACATAAACAAAATACACAGAAAACGATTTGACATCATGATTCATGACAGTTTTGATAAACTTTATAATTTGAGGTTAATATCACAAACCTAGTAGATCTGTCTTATTTATTATTGCATAGTGAGTGTGGCAGTGATAACTGATAAGTATATTGTAATTTTTCATTCTCTCCATGTTAAATAAAATTATAATTAACAAAAATAACGCACAAAAACACAACCGGTCACCAGCATAACAAATAGTAAATAATGATAAATGACAGAAAATGTGTCTGTTCCAGCAAAGTTAGAATAGCCAACTTAACTTGTTATACCAACTTAAATTTAAAGCGTAATGCGCATGCGACATAGTTGACGTCACAACGCATTATAGAAAAAGTCGGAACATGGTCATATTTTGAAAGTTGTATATCTCAGTTAATATTAGTAAAAACAAAATTTTTAAAAAAGCTATATTAATTTTAAAACGTGAACGTCCTGAATTCAGATAAATAAAAAAATATATATGTGAAACGACCCTATTACGAACATTTCACCAGAAGAAAACGTGAACAAAGTTGTTACAAAATTCTTCATTACATTTTATGTATAGAATCCTTATTAATTTAATACAGTTAGACAACCAATCAAACTTAGGAAGAAGAAAATACTAGATGGCGACTCTCTAATAAAATCACTATTATTTATATTTTAAATAAGGATTTTATGAGAGTCTCTTTCTAACTTCGATTGTAACTATAAATATATAAACAAGGATAGAGTCCTTAAGTTATGATGTGACTTTAACGCTTTTAGTTGCAGTCTTAATAGTTTCAAATCATACTTTAAACATTAGTTTCAATAGTTTCCGTTAGTTTCTTGTTTCATTGTTCTCTTTTGCAACATTGTAAGTTTCTTTATTTCCATTCTGCACCCTCTTATTCTGTAATTGAGTGAAAACCTAGAAAACAGTTTAAAAGGTGTATTTCTTTCTGTTTCAGAAGTGGGATAATGAGCTGGCCAACCGTGCTCAAAACTGGGCCCTATCCTGTCAGTCAGAAAGACATGATGCTCAAAGACATGTCTGTAAGTAACTATTCTTTCACTCATTTTATTCATTCACAGTATAATAACCCTTAAATTTGTCGATGATTTTACGATTGTGGGGACACCCTGTACAAAAATCAATTTACATTTTAGCGCGATTCCCAGTGGGACAAAACATAGCGACCACTTGGACCACGAGGAAACCGTCCTCGGACAACGATTCCAAACCGGACTTTGCCGACTCAATGAGGAAGTGGTTCAATGAATTCAAACAATTCAGCTATGGAGGAATTGGAGAAGGCCATACTGGACATTACACGCAGGTAAGGAGCTTTTGTATTATTCCGCGAAAGGATAAGATAAGAGTCCCGTTTTTTAAGTTTATTGTAGATTATAATTAACCCCTTGAAATGTACAGAAGTACGGGAGAGATATTTTCCATAACTTCAGTCAAAGGAATAAATAGCTATTATTAATTAAGTTAATTAACTTAAAATTAAAACATAAGTAGTAATTGTATGTATACTATTGTATGCGTAACAAGAGCCATTTTAAAATGTAGACCTTTATCAATATTTCTTTTTATTTCATAAAACTTTTAAACAATTAAAAAGAAGAAATTTGAAATCAAATAATGCACTATAAAATAAAATAGTAGTACTTTATATCCCGTAAATCTTTTCAAATTTGTTGTCAAATATCGCTATTAAAAATCGTATCCAAGTCCAAAACTAAGCCTAAAATTAAATTCTGACATTACAATCGAGATGTCTGCCACATTCAGTAACTTCCATACCATTGAACTTGCAGGAAGTAGAGTTTTCAAAATCTTATGAGCTTTGACCTTCATATGCGCAGAAACATAATTCCAACCGTTGCCTAAATTATTCTACGTCCTAAAAACATTACATCTATTATTCACAGTTTATCTCGAGCGTAAACAAGCCTTTGATCCGATTGCAAATATCATAATAAAATGCCCTATTCTTTATTATTTTAATTTAAGCAATAAAAATATAACGAGCGTTCAAATAAAAACGTGGTCCAAGTTGGCTCTGACACATTGGACGTAGGGAGTAGCTTATAGCGACCAACTTAACCTCATTTCTCAACGAGCTGTATAGCAGCTGTCAGTTTCAATAACGTTAATGACTATATAACTTTATTTTAAAGAATAATCGTGATAACAATAACAAACAATTAAAGGAGCTGCGGAAAGTGTCCCCCTCCTTGTTATAACAATAAATTAAAGCAGCTGCTGAAAGTGTCCCCCTCCTTGTTCCAAGCACTTTTCACACCTGTTCCTCAAAGAATTAAAGACATTTTCTAAGATGCTCGGGGTATTGTTAATTTCACGAATCTTGTCTATAAGTCGAGCCTGCAGATGGTTTAAATCAGGAATAGGCAGTTCAAAAATAGTGTTTTTAAGGTAAGGCCACAAAAAGAAATCACACGGCGTAATATCACATGACCTCGGTGGAAATTCATGTTCAGCATTGAGACTTATTAGTCGATTTTGGAAAACTTCCCTCAACATATTCATCGTCTCGCCTGCCGTATGTGCCCTTGCGCCATCTTGTTGAAAGTAAAAGTTTGTAATTTCGTTTTCTTCCAGCTGGTTAACAAAAGGAGCGATAATTTCTTCTCTATACCTTTGCGCAGTAAGAGTACCATTAAAAAAAATAGGTCCATAAATCCTCCTTCGATTGAGAGCACACCAAACTCCAATTTTTTGAGCGTGTAGAGGGCCCTCGACAAAAAAGTTATCTGGTTTTTCAGAAGACCACATTCTCATATTCTGTGAGTTTACGTAACCACTTAAATGAAACCAGGCTTCATCAGAAAAAAAGGTGATATTATGAAGTTCACCGTAGTTGTTTAAAAACCATTCACAAAATACAGCCCGTCGCGGAAAATCAACTTCATGAAGTTCTTGCTGACAAGTTAAACGATAGGAGAACAAACGCAAATCTTTTTTTAACACTGTGTGGCAGGTACCGACTGATACTCCCACCATTTGTGATAAAACACGTACAGAAGTTCTTGGCGCATTTTCCATTATTTGTTGGACATTTTCTTTTAATTCTTCAGTCCGCTTTTTAGGTCGGCCGCTTCCTTCTTTTCTTGTTACACTGCCCGTTTCACGAAAAACATTAACACAACGCTGAACTGCACTTTGAAAAATTTTGTACTCAACAACGCCGGGAAATTGATTTTGAAATTCTATGAAACATTCCTCAATAGAATACTTCCATATTCCATCAATCTTGCGTCCATTTCTAAAGTAGGACTCTATGATAAACACTTTTTGTTCTTGAGAAAACACCATTTTAAACGCTTTTTAAAACGAAAATATTCAAATTGATAGCGGCGATATAGCACTTTGACAGATGACGTTTAAGTTAATTTGCTATACGCTACGCCCTACGTCCAAATTTTCAGAACCAACTTGACCACGTTTTTATTTGAACGCTCGTTATGTATAACAAACGTTCGCTAGTTGACTTTGTTGATGCCCGAGCGTCTTATTTCATTTCTGGTTGTAATGAGGCACGTGGTCTAATTCTGAGTCAATGTTTTCACGACGTGCTTATTAGAAGAGTTGTGGAGATATGCCACGCCTTTCGCGCATTTCGCGGCTCATGAGATTTTAAAACTACTCTTCTTATATGTAAAAGTAGTCCAAAATTTTTTTTAAATATATAATGGTTTTACTTACGTACTATACAGATTGTTTCCTAAGTACAGTCCGTAACTTCACGACACAATTTCTTATGGTATTTAAATAAAAAGTTCCTATAAACACGTGGTCGGAAACGTTTAGATTCTGAGATACAGGGTGTTAAAAATTAAAGAAAATATATTAATGGGAATAAATTTGGCACAGTCAATGTTAGTTTTTTAAAATTTGGTAGTTATTGTACATTGGTAAAGAACTGCATTATTATTATAAACTCAATTTTTATTATCTGTCGCCAGTGGCGTAGTTAGGCGTGAGTCAGTCGACGTTTTCGTCATAAAATGTCAAACGTCAATGGATTTTGTAAAATTTTTATTATTTTCGAACTCGCTTAATATTTTACTATAAAAAAGGTGTACTATATTTTTTGCCTAATACGAACCTATTCTTAGAAAAATGGCCAGCAACTACAAACAACAATCATAGAAATAATCAGTTTCGACACAAAATCAAAGCAGATGTTGGAAATGGACACTTTCTGATAACTCCAATCGTTTCATCATTGATTGTGTCACTCGTTCAAAAAATCCTGGAGATTTTGTGATGACTTCACAACTTTGAATTTTTCGATATCGTAATTCATTTTCATCTAGTACAGGTGTCTTATACACAAGAGACTTGAGATGACCCCGTAGATAAAAGTCGCAAGGATTCATATCGGGACTGCGAACTGGCCAAACTTGGGGACCTACACGTCCAATTCATTGATTAGGAAACACATTTCGAGGTACTGACGAGCAACATGGCTTAAATGAGCTAAGCCGTAGATGAAATACATCCGAGTCATTTCAGCGTTAGTAAATTATCGAATTTTATTATCTGATCCACATAATTTTGGTTGGCAACTTATAACTAGCAAAATAGCAACAATCTCGGTATCAAACAACAAAAAAAGACGTATCTCTTATTTTTGTTGCCGTTGAATTAAATAAGTTTTTTTCTTAAAAAATAGGTTAGTACTTATTGTAAAATCTTAGGCGAGTCCGGAAATAATAAAAATTTTAAAAAATACATTGGCGTTCTACATTTTATGACGAAAACGTCGACTGACTAACACCTAACTGCGCCACTGGCGGCAGATAAAGATTGACTTTATACGAAAAATGCAGCTCTTTGCCAACGTACAATAACAGCCAAATTTTAGATCTTAACATTGATTGTTCCAAATTTATTTCAAATATTAATATGTTTTCAACATCCTGTATCTCAGAATCCAAGCATTTTCGGCCACCCACATGTTTATAGAAACTTTTTTTCTTTCAATACCATAAGAAATTGTATCCTGAAGTTACATACCGTGCTTAGAAAACAACCCGTATATAACATTAACTGATGGAAATAGAATAAATAAATTCAACAATCTAGATTCTACTGCAACTACAACCGTTTCACAATCAGTATATTGCTGTATAAGGATTTATGTGGCAGTAAAATTAACTTTAATAAGTAATTTTCAAATGAGTAGAAACATTATATCGATTCTATTTTTTATTTTGTGCTAGTAATTTACTATATGTAATTCTCTTTAATAATTAATTTAAAAAAAACATAAAAACACCTATTACTTAGAACTCCTGAGGCATCAATATATGTAATTATTATAGCAATAAAAATTACAAACATATTTTTCATTTCGTTAAGTACCTATACAGTGTAGGAAAGTACCGATGGTCTATCAGAAATTACGTGAGAGCGATAAAGTAAGCCATAGAATATAAGAAGTGGATCTTATTTGTGGAAGGGCGAAATGGGCGTTGTCTATTAGACGCCTTCATTATAGCCATCCTTGTCTATCACATGGATTTCTATGGCTTACTTTATCGCTCTCACGTAACTTCTGATAGACCATCGTTACTTTCCTACACTGTATATTACACCTATGTTTTCATTTACAGATGATATGGGCAGAAACTAATCTGGTTGGTTGTGGTTATGCCTTCTACTACGACCCAGCTAAGGGTTTCACCAAGAACTATATTTGCAATTACGGACCTGGGTAAGTTAATAATAATCTAAAAAGACATCATATTTTAATGTATTTTCTATTCTATTTACAATGTTATTACATTTTTTTTTATTAAAATATTTTTTCTTTTTTATAGAGGCAACGTACTTGGTCAGTCACCTTATTCAAGAGGTCATCCAAACTGCGTTGAAAGTGGGTTGACAGATTCTCGAAAATATTTTGGACTTTGTGGTAAGAACCAATATTTTCTCTTCTAATACAATTTTTGATGTTAACAAAATAACTGTCCATATACATGAATATTTGAACGCAAATAAAATGTTATTAATACAAATTTATTTTTCAGATAAGCCCGGTTATGTCTACAGTATATCCAATTTCATCGTATAAACCGGACATTAATTTATTAGTTAAATTTAAAGCAGAAGTTATTGCGCATCTAGTATTTATTGTTGTAATTAAAATGTATGACCGTGTGTTACTGGATTTGCAATTTGATTATAACAACGTTATATTGCATTCGTAGAATGTGGCATGATTATTATTATTATTATTGTATAGTATTATTTTTATTTCGCGATTGTTGTACATTAAGTTGATTTTAATGTGTGAATCATTTTTGTAAATAAAATATTTATTTTTTATATAACAAATTGTTTTATTGGTACGATTATCTAGAGAAAATAAATAATGGGAATATGAGAAATTACTTTTTTATTTTACTTAATATGTTTGTTTATTGATACCGTTGGACAAAAACTGTTACGATTCCGACTAAATCATTTAATACATATATTTTCACTTTATTTTAAAGGTATTGATATTAAGCTAATTCAAAATCTAAAAACTTCCTGAAAACTTTATCAAATGAAATCGAACAATGTTCTTTACTGATACTGATACCAAACATTATAGGTATTTATTTTTATTTTTTTATTTATTCTTGTTGTTATTTTAACTTTAACATCATACCTTGGATAAATAAATATTTTTGAATTGAAATAGAATGCCGATTATAGATAACTAAAATATATTTAGTAGAACTTGAAACATGAATCATGTTTTAAAGAAGTGTCACTTTCAAATCATAGTCAATAAGTGTGTGTAAAAAAAAGTACTATTATGATCACGGGCACAGACCACAGAGATACCCTTCAGAGCAGTGAATATATAGAAATATAAACAGAAAACTTTTGTGGCGTTATTCAAAATTCAAATATTAATCAAATGCATCAAATATAAAGTATCTAATTGACCTACAGTGGTTTTTAGTCACTGTAGTTAGTAGATTGATCAAATACTAATGCTGGCGACATCTGTCCGCACCTGCAATAACAATGACTATTACAGGAACCAATAAAACCGTCATTGCGTTGACTGAAATATTAGGCTTTATTTGGCCACTGAATATTGGTGAATATCTAACTTGTAGTTACTATTTCCATCTCTTTTGATCTTAATTGTCATATGGTAGTGTAAACCTTTTCATTATCTCATTAAAAACAAAAAAAAATTAGTACAGTTTCCTGTCCGCAACAATATTTTTTAAGCCTGGGCATTACTGGCAACCTAGATAAATGATACTAACTGGCAACTGGCAACATTATTGCTGTTTTCTTTTACTCATGATTTCGGAATCATAACGCGTTACGATCCGAAATCTAGCAATCTAATTGGTTTTTATCGGACCGTAACATGTTATGATTCCGAAATAATGAGTAAAAGAAAAGGGTTTATCAGAGATATAGACTCTATATCTCTGGGGTTTATATGTTATGTTTCGTGTTGGCATGGTGGCAACTCTGCATCGCTTCTTTCCATCTTCTTCTATGAGAATTTAGAATTATTTCAAAATCAAAACACAGTAGTTATCGATGATTGATAATATGGCATTCGGCATATTTTAATTTTATAAATAAACATATTTAAAAATTTCTCAAGTCAAACTTTATTTAAATTTTACATATCACATAGTTATTAATTAAAATAATTAAAAATAGCCATCCTTTTTCAGCATCACAAAAGGCGCCACAAAAGATTTGGTAATCAAAGATAACAAATAGTAATTTTTAAATAACATTTAAATGTTCAGTGATGCATCAATCTGAAATAATATTTCCTAATGTTATTCTACTACATTTATCCTATGAAATTTAATGATAAATCATTTGAATCTTTTTTGATGTGTCATTTTAAAACTTAGGTTAGAGTTACTTGACTTGTCAAATAACCAGGGAAAGTAATTCAAAGAGGATAAAGGTTTTTCCCATTTAAATTTCAACTTGATATCTTGATATTATTCATACACTTTTTATTGTTAAGTGGTAAGGGTTTAATTAAGTTTTGTAATGTAATTCATGAATTAATGTTTTTAGAACCATGAATTTTTTTAGGACAATTGTGCAGAACGTAACTAGACGTTTTTCCATGATGGAATCTGCTGAAAATTATTTATACTATTCCCATGAAAAACTGCTCAACCTTATTCAGGAAATAGGTGATGAAGACGTTGCTGTTCAGGAATATTTGAAGAACGTAAAGTATGCCCCAATTAAAGATTTCGAGCAAGGTGGGTATCCTAAATAATTACAGAACGAAAATTTGAAAGTGTGACATAATTTCTATTTTAGGACTTGAATGGTTCAATGTATCAGATGCCCTATCATTTAAAAAGCATTTAAAAGGGAAAGTTGTCGTCTTGGACTTTTTTACTTATTGTTGTATAAACTGTATGCATATTTTACCAGATCTTCGTGAAATCGAAAATCAGTTTTCTGTCGAGGATGGCTTAGTTGTGGTAAGTATTCAGATTGAATACAAAAATGAATTCATATTGAAATGATATTATTAAAGAATTGATTTGGTTTTTTTTTCAGATTGGCGTTCATAGTGCTAAATTTGAGAATGAGAAAATATCCTCGAATATCTTGGCAGCAGTCCAACGCTATAACATCGGTCATCCTGTAGTGAATGATGCTAATTCTGATATGTGGAAAAACTGTGATGTCCAATGCTGGCCCACTCTTTTAATGCTTGGCCCAAACGCGAACCCAATAGTCATGTTAACAGGAGAGGGGCACAAAGAAGATCTCCAACTGTACATAAAAAACGCTTTGGCGTTTTACAAATCGAAGAACCAAATATCAGATCATAAATTACCATTCCTACCAGCATATCACTTACTTCCTGACCTCAAAGGCCCTTTGCTTTTCCCTGGGAAGATCACCAACATTTTAGACGAGAATAACCACGAGATTCTAGCTGTTTCTGACACGGGAAATAATAGGATATTGATAATTAAGGGGGACGGCACTATTTTGCAGCAAATCGGAGGGAAGAAACTCGGTTTTAAGGATGGAAATCTTGAAGATGCAGAGTTTAATAATCCTCAAGGCCTCGCGTTTCAGAATAAAGACGTTTTGTTTGTTGCCGATACCGAAAATCACGCAATTCGGAAAATCAATTTAAAGAATAGAACCGTCGAGACTGTAGCAGGTATGAAATCAAAATTTTTAGCTAATACACAGCTTTATTTCTTTCCATACCTCCTGAACAACAAGTTTTATTCGACGCCCGTCCGCAATTTCATTTGTTTCCTGAGAACGTTAGCGATTTTTGGAGATTATTTCTAATGAGAACGAGAATATTTCCCAAAATTAAGGGGGATGGCCACTGTGACGGCCGAAAAAGTGAGCAATTTTCATGAATATTTTTGACCGGGAAAATTAAGGAATATGGGGCCTGGGTGTTTTTTATTTTATTAAGTGTACATTCAATTTGGTTCATGTAAATTTTTATTAAAAAATATTAATTTGTTACAAAGTTGAGCCTTGCCGTAATGCCTTAAAAAAATAAATCGCCCTCCACGGTCGGTCGCATTGATTTTCCAAAAACGGGTTATCTGAGAAAAAAAAATTTAATTGCATTAGAATCTATATGAATGTAGTTATCGTTGTACGTAGCCATTTTTTTTTTTTTGATTTTTTACAAATTGGGGACCAATTAAAAATTTTTTTCACTTTGCCCCATTTTTACATTTAAACGGTCTTAAAAAATAGTAATAATCCAATTTTTCAAAATCGGCTACACATAACTTTAGCGATTGCAAAGAGGAATAAAAAAAAAATTGAAAATTGGTTGATACTTAATCGAGTTATCGATGTGACCAGTTTGAAAAAAGTCATTTTGAGAAAAACATGTTTAAAGTTTTCTGGCCATTCTTCTTACTATAAAATCATGTATCTACTAACATATTTATACTCACGTCAAACTATCGAGTCCTGGGCCATATGATGGTTCTTCCTCTACATCTCCAGTGGTGTCCTTAGCATTGTTTTTATTTCATTGTCCTTTTGCGCACGATTCTTCGTCTGTCCCTAGCGCACAAATGATTTATGGTGTCTATACCTGCCTCACTAAAATGACTGTAACTCAGTCAATATTTGGAATTTTGACTTAAAATTTTATACACGTTTTCAAAGGTATAAACTTTAAGGCCGATCGCAAACACAGCCACGTGTGGTCGCCACAAGTGGCCGCCACAAGTAGCTAGAAGCAACTACTAGTATTCGCTACAAATAGCCGCCACGTGCGGTTAATTTTTTAATTAGTGGCCGCCACTTTTTATGAATTTTTTTCAATTTTGGATATAAATACATCTTTGACTATATTGTCCACCATTTCTGTGCTCATAATTTCAGAAAATGTAGCAGTTAAACGCTGTGGACTGTGTTTGCGCCGTAAGAAAAGTGGCTGTCGTCGGCTACAAGCAGCAGGTATGACTTCTGCCACAGCGTGTGGCTGGATCGAGCCACTGCCAACGCTGTGTTTACGCTGAACCTATTTAAACTACATACAAAATACAGTCCGCAGCGTGTAGCAGCCACCAGTGGCGACCACGCGTGGCTGTGTTTGCGATCGGCCTAAAGCAAAAAAAATTTTTATTTGACCCATCACTTGTAAATTAACTTTAATAGGGAAATACTTAATTTATTTCTTGATGGAATTTTTTTTATTATTTGCAAATAAAAATTTTAAGCACTGCCAAAAATTGGTGCATTTTCGATAATTATACTGGGTGTACTAGATTGGCTCCAAGTTACAGTGCAGGCTAAAAAATGGAAAAAAATTGTTCAATAGTAAAATAGTCTTATTTTTAAACATTTTATTAAAACGTTATTACAAAAAGTTGTTTAGATAAAAGATAAGTCCCAATAGAAAGTCATTGACTTCTATTCGAATAATAAATTACAGCCATACATTTTTTTAGTCCTAGAAAATAATAAATCAAAATACATTTCTCACAAATTTCGAAAAAGATATACGAGTACGATTTAACTACTATAATTAATGCGAAACTTTGAAAATAATGTTTATATGGGAGCAATTTAAAATTTCCCGAATATAATTTATTTTTGGACATATCGTTTATTTCTATACAACTTTTTTACAATATTTTGATCAATTTTTAAATATGAAACTACTTTTACTACTATTTAATATATTTTTTAATTTTTTGTCTGCCCTATATTCCACTTCCACATATTCTAGGATAGTTGTTGAACATGCACCAACTTTAGGTAGCATTAAAAATTTTTACTTCCAAATAAAAAAAAACTTGTTGCACTATTAACTAAGTATACAGAATTTGAGAATTTAGAAATTTTAAGAAAAATGGGAAAAAAAATAAAAAGTCAAAGTGGTTTTCTATATTACAATCTCATGATAGTTGGCGGGCGGCACCTCAAAGCCCTTCCGCACCAGCCGCCACTGGTTTTGCATACCACTATTTTGTTAATTTTACTCGTACCTGTTTAAAATCTTAAATTATGGAAGAACGTGCTGCTAATCTCTTAGAACATGATAAATTTATGACTGTTGTTACTGGCATACTGGCAATGCTGTTCCTCACCCATGCAATATACAACTGCACTGTATATATGGACTTCTCTAAATTGTCATAAATTAATCCAAATTATTTAAAAAAAAAACTCAACAATCAAAGCCTTTGTTGCTGGCAATAACCCTTCAACTTCCTCAGGTACCGGTTTCCAAGGTCACGACCGAACGGGCGGAAACCTGTGGAAGAAACAAACCATCTCGTCCCCCTGGGACGTGTGCATCTACCGCACAGCCGACATGGACCTGACGTTTCACCCAGATGGCAAACCTCCTATGAGAGACGTCCTGATTATCGCCATGGCTGGAACCCACCAGATCTGGGCGTTATTCCTGGAGGACACCGTCTGGTGGAAGTGTAAGAAGTACCCGGCCGGCGCGTGCATTAATATAGCCGGTTCGGGAAAGGAGGAAAACCGAAACAACAATTACCCTAACTCTGCCGCGTTTGCTCAGCCCTCGGGATTGGCGCTTTGCGCCAAGAATAAGGAGGTTTACATAGCCGACAGTGAGAGCTCGAGTGTGAGGCGGTTATCTCTCGTAGATGGGAAAGTGACGCCGGTTGTTGGAGGAGATAGGAATCCATATGTAAGAAAGATGTTTTATTTTAAATAGGTTTTAAGAAAGTTTCTAATAGCTTTGTTTCTCTTTTTTGTTACTAATAAGGGAGTTCTGAATTTTGAAGAAAACACTGTACTTTTTACCATTTTTTTTTTTTCAAATATAAATAATTAAAAATAAAATTTTGATATAAACGTTAAAGTCACATACAACTTTTTAATATACAGGATATCCTAAAAGTATGGAAACCCCAGAATAATTCGGAAGTAAAGGGCTATACGGAAAAACGTTTCATAGAAAGGGTTTGGGATTTTTTCCAGGCTATTCAATGATGACCTTGAATTTGACCTTGGCCTTGAGCTTGAAGGTCATTTCAAGGTCAATGAAATTTTTTCAAATGGAAACCCCTACTTTCTATCATGCCATTGGAAAGAGCGCAAAATGTTACGTCTGAATATATCTTTGACCATGACCTTGAGATCATGGTTATTTCAAGGTAGGGGTCAATCTTTGTGAGGGTAACCCATATTTTTTATTGTGCAGTTAGAAAGAGCAAAATATTTTGCTTCCGAATATGACTTCATGACCTTTATTTTTTAGACCACTTCAAACCATTTTTGTATGAAATGTTTTTCCGTATATTCCTTTACTTTCGAGTTATTCTATGGTTTCCAGGCGGTATCTATCAAAAATCTTATCCAACCTTAAAATGATCTTGACCATGGTCTCAAGGTCATAGTCAAAATCATATTTAGACGTAAAATTCTCCACTCTTTCCAATGGCATGATAAAAAGTAACGGTTCCTATTTGAAAAAATGACCTTGACATGAGTTCCACTTCTTATTTGTGGAAGGGCGAAATGGGTGGTGACTATTAGATGCCTTCATTATAGCCATCTTTCTCTATCGCACAGATTTCTATGGCTTTCTTTATCACTCTCACGTAACGGCTGATAAACCATGGGGACTTTCCGACCCTGTATTTTTAAATCATATTCGAACTGCCCTTTTTGATTTTTTATTTACAAAATTGTATTTGTAAGAGTCCCCCATACATCCATTTTATTTTTTTTTTTTTGATAAAATTCTGAATCACCCTGTGTATGTACTCAGATATGCAACAACAACAAGGATATAAACCAATGCACATGACACCCAACTTGAGGTGAACATGAAACTATATAATCATAACATCACAAGTCAGCGACATGGCGCCCAACGTGGGGCGAATATGCTACTACGTAATAATAACTTCACAAAAATCGACGACAATATTAAATATGATATTGTTGCTGTAATTCAATATTATTTGGGTCAAAATAGCCCCTAGACTAGTTGTTTCTTGCAATATATTCACTTAAAATTAAAAAATAGTGGCAACACTGGTCATGTTTTCATAGTACCTGTGATACACTCTTTGTAGGTCTTAGGCATTTCGTAGCAGTGACCACTGCAGGGGTCGGCATAAGTCAGGCGACCAATTTGCATTAAGAGCATTAATTTTCATTCTGAAAACGCGTCTACTCGATGAGCACGTGTTATCATATTCATGACACAGACACAACTGTCTGAAGCACGAACATGCTTCGTTTTAATCTTTTTCGACAGTGTTGCCAGACTTATGAGCTTTGCCGGACTTATGCCGATTTTTCGAGAGCGTTGCCTGACTTATGCCGACCCCTGTAGATGTAGAGGTATGTTTTCTTATAAAATATCGATTTGTGATATACCAGATTTAATCAACAAATAACAGAAATACTACTCAGTGTTGACTAACAGCAAATATTTTTTAAGTTTAATGAATTGATTTCAGAACCTTTTTGCGTTTGGAGACAAGGACGGGAGCCTGTTCGACGCCAAACTTCAGCACACTCTCGGTCTGTCGGCCACGGCGGACGAAAAAACTGTGTTCGTGGCCGATACGTACAACCACAAATTGAAAAAAATCGACATCGCTCAAAACTCCGTAACGACCCTAGTTCCACCGGATGGAGACACCTCCAACGGTACCTTGCGGTGCTTCAACGAACCGGCTGGTATGTGCGTCAGCTTCGACAATAAAAAACTCTATCTGGCGGACACGAATAACCATTTCATTAAAATTGTCTATTTGGGGTCCAAGTCGAATATCACGAAAATCGAAAAATTAACCCTTAAGAAGCTCACAGAAAAGAAATCGGTGCTGGATAAATCAAAGTACACCGTGATAAACTGCAAACCTGTGATCGTTAACTCGAATGGCGGTAAAGTGATAACTAGCATCGACGTTTCCTTCAAAAACGATTTGAAGCTAACCGACGACGCACCACAAAGCTGGCTGGTGGATCTGCCGGACTCCACTTGGTCTTGCGTGCCAAAAAACGGGTCCAACCTCAAGAATATTAATTTAGTTATTAGCGTGCCGCTCGAAAGGGACGCCAAGGATAATTTCGCCGATATCGTTTTTAGTCTCGTGACTTGCACCCGGGAAACTTGTTTGCCGAAGAATTTTATCATTAGACTACCGGTGGTTTATTCTAAAGACGCGTCGACCAGCGTAACTAGGAAGATCGAGGTGGGCGCAAGTCCATCCGATGTTAAAATTGTTTAAACGGTGATATTTCTGCGTGTTATGGAAGCTTGTGCTTTTTATAGCTTGATTTACGGTAAACCAGTGTTATTATCGGGTTTTATTTGTATTTTACGAGAGCCAGTTTTGTATAGGTTTCAATGCAGCAGAGTTTTTGGTTTATGTAGTAAATGAAAATATTTTTTTTTTAAGTTTTCCCTGAGAGAATATAAAACTAATTTTTTTATTTTATTTTTTTAACTTACGCTAAAACTAATTTGAAATATACATTTTTAATCCTTTATTATAGAACCAAAAATTATATTTCGAATAATAAAATATATTTTTTTGCTAAGTTTTTTGAGAAATAAGTTGGCTATTTGAGAGTGGCAACATATCGGCGGCAGAGAACTTTTAATAGTAAATAATTGTTGGAATTTTAGTACACTTTTGTGTTTTATTTACATTTTAAATACAGGGTGTTCCAAATTTTAATCACTAAAATTTAGCTTTAGAAAAATATTGGCACTTTGCTGTATAAACTTATTTTCGAAACCTCACCGTTTTTAAGATACAGGGTGTTCAACTTGTACAAACAATTATACGAGTGTCTCCAAACATCTTCTGACAAATGAAGGTATTGAAGCGAACTTTTGTGTGCTCCATACATGAATAAAGTGACATTCGACTTAAAAAAAAATTACTTCAGGTAAAACCAGTGGCGTAGATATGAGGTACGCAAGTTACATTTTTCTCTAAAATTATGGCACGCCATTGGACAAAACATTTTTTTGTTATTTGTGGATTGTAAATTTTATTGTAAACAAAAGTGACTTACCGTTTCGCAGTGGTGGTTAGCGAAAAACAGTGGTTTTTCTTTTGATAATAATTTTCGTGACAAAAAATGCAGAGAACATTTGAAAAATAAATTTAATTTTAGGAGCTACCAATACTGGGATCTCGAAAAGGATTGCATGTGCAAGATATATTTTTTATAGATAAAAATGTTTTTACTTTTTCTCAAAATTTATATTTTTCATAAAGTTAAAATTTAAATAGATATAACTACAAAGCAAATTTTATTGTCAAAATTTTTTAAAAAATTGATTATGAAAAATACAGGGTATAGCAAAAGTACCGGAACGGCAGAATAACTCAACGGGAGAGCATTTTAGAGAAAAATGTTAAATACAAAAGTTCCAGGATTTCTAACTGGTGACCTTGACATTGACCTTGACCTTGAAGATTATTTCAAGGTCAAATGTGATTTTTCAAATGGGATAGCCACTCTCCCGCCGAGTTATTCTGCCGTTCCTGTACTTTTGTTAGTTTGACCTTGTGGGGGCCCTAAGGTCAAAAAGGAAGGGTCACTCAAGGTCGTATCTGAATGTAAAATTTTCCGCTCTTCATTTCTGGCATCAAAAGTATAGAGTCCCATATGAAAAATGACATTTGACCTTGAAATGATCTTCAAGGTCAATGTCAAGTTCACCATCGGATAACCAAGGAAAAATCCTGATACTTTTATATTTAACATTTTTCTCTAAAATGCTCTTCCGCCGAGTTATTCTGCTGTTCCGGTAGTTTTGCTATGCCCTGTATATATTTTGACCAAATTTACTTTTTTTTTTGGTCTCAGTGTCGGCGACCTCTATTTTAATTTATTTTGCAAATTCCACTCAAAATTTGTTTGTCAAGAATGTTTTCTATGTGACCATAGAAATCATGCCCTTAAAAAATGGCAACTTTTTTTTCAAAATATAACTACTCATTTCCACCTGTCGTCACTGCTGTTTTGGTACAAATTAACAATTTGTAAAGGTAAATTTAAAATTGTACAGTGTGTTTAACATTAACATATCAAAACTGAAAATGCGTTTTCCTAGCCCAAATTTTAAAATATCTTCTCATATAAACAAGTGCTCTGAACATTTCATTTTTAAGGTACAGGGTGTTTTTAGTTTTTAGTTTTCAAAAAGATTATCAAAATGATTTGTATGATTCCCTTCGCAACGTAGGAATAAAAAAAATAAAAAATAAATCAGGGAATTTGAACTTTACATTCATTTTTCAACCTTAATTTCTGACCTTTCTGACTTAATCACAAACAAATCAGTTATATGAAAAAAATTCTACATTCTAAAGTAGAAAACATGTTCGAAAATACTGTTTTAAATTTTGGAAGCAATCGGTTGAGCCGTTTTCCAAATATTTTGGGTACAGTTATTTGCTGCACTGCACTGCTAGGCAATTTGTCAACAACTGAAATTTATAGTCGGTCGCCCAGTGCGGCCGTGTTTGTGCGCCGTTTGCCCGCGCGCACATTCTTCAACTGGGCGGATACATTTCTGCCACCACGTTTAGTTCGACCAGACCTGTATATGGGTATGGGTAAATAAATATTCGAACAAGGTTTTCAAATATTTGAATGCCGAGTTGCTGTGTAGCGACCGAACCTGGTCTGCCTAGCTCTTTGGTGTTCTATTGAAATCGGAAAGACTGTACACATGATATTCTTAATATCCCAAACTTGGAGACTTTTTTTATAAAAATCGATTTTTTGAGACGACTTCTTTTTACTTTACCGTTAATCTGCAATTCCGGGATCCAGCACTGGCAGCATCTTCTGCAGCGATCCGTAACTGCTTCCGCTGAATCCTCCTTTCACAGGTCGTGTTGTGAGTTTTGACTTACACATGCATTCCGCAGTCTCGATATTATTTTGATCTAAATAAAATTTGCATTATGAAATTTTTTTCTAGTGACTACAATTTTGAAGAAAATGTAACCAGCATATCCCATATCTACGCTACTGGTTTAACTTTTTCTCTGTATACATTGATTGCCATTTTATTCAAGCAAGTCCTGTGTACACAAAATTTTGTTTCAATATCTTCATTTGTTCAAAAGACATTTAAAGATATTTTTTCTTTGAACTTCAGCGCCTGAGCCTTAGAAACGGGGGTTTCGAAAACAGGTATAACATCAGAATGTTATTATTTTTATCTCGTCTTGGTTAAAATTCAGGACACCCTGTATAAAATATACATCTCTAACATTTAAAACTCTATGAAACTATACATTTGTAGTGTGGGACAATTTAGATACATTTAAAAATAGCTTTCGAAAATTTTTGAACTCGATTTCCATTTCTATCGAATGGCTAAAAACAGTTAAGAGTTAATTAAATTAAATAACATGAATATGTGAGACTGTAAATGGCACATAATCACATTTTCTTTTTTTTGTTTGTTTCTTCTATACTTCTGTTTGATCTGTTTTTAACACTGAAGGTGGAAATGGAATTAGATCTACCATTTACTTTCTAATTGTAATGGAAAAATTTACTTATTTTCGTTAGGTGTCCACGAGGTTTTTACTAATTTCGTTACAATTATTTTATACAGGGTGTAACTAAAATGCTTGAACAAAATTTAATGACAGATTCTATGTCGCAAAACAACAAGACAAGTTCTTATAAAACATGTTTCAGGGAATTATTTATTATTAATTATTTATTCTCAAAGTAGTGTTAAAGTTTGAGAAAAAAATCGTTTTTTTTTTTTCTATATTCCAAACTATTTCAGGTTCTCACTATTAGGAAAAATAATAAAAACGTATTTTTGTTGCATATTAGAATGCATCATTTTCGGAACAAATTATAAAATATTAATCTGTGCCTAGGTAATTATTATTAAAATATTTTCTGCAGTTTGTTTTTTAACACCTATATCAAAGACAAAGTGTTCTGGAACACATATCTTTACAGGTACTTTTTTTGTTTGTGACATAGCATATGTCGTTATGAGTTGGACAGACATTTCAGTTGCACCCTGTATGAACGTAAATTTGTATATTTTAATAACTTAGTGTCTTATGAACTAAATGAATTATACATAATTTCAGTTGATATTTTATATTACATTTTTATAATAAACTGTTTCCTAAATATAACATTTTTTATTTTACTCAAACATGCCTAAGCCTTGAAATACGAAGAAAAATTATTTTTTTTATTTGTATATTTTAAGATATACAAAGTGCCTCATTATATGGGTGAGGGTCATAGTAAGTAAATATCAAATGAACCACAATTTTTTTTTTAATTTCGGAATCATAATTTCCTGGAAAATCCAATTTTTTTTAGGTACCAATTATAGAAGAACTGTAATATATAGTGTTTTTAATCTGTTAAAACGATATAATAATAATATCTCTTCCCCTCATTCTAATCGCAATGACTAGTCCAGATGTGGGAGAGGGGGCAGCATATTATTATTCAACATTAATATAGGCAGCATATGTGTACCCAGGAACGACTTACCTTGGTAAGCCCTGACCACCATTCAGTACAGGGTGGAAGAACGTTGTTTTTTTCTTGTTTTTTTTCAGTTATTTTGTTGTAAATTGTTCATATACGAAATTAATTTTTTTACATTAATTCAGAAAATGAATTGTCAGAAACTGAAAAAATAAAACAAATGGGTAAAATAATGTGTTCTTAGATTTCAGATTAAATAAAATGTTTATAGTCTTAAAACTTGACGCCTAAAATAATTATAGGAGACTTTAACTTATAGATCTCCAATATACTTATTTTTAGGATCCATTTAAAAAAAATATGTCATTTTCATTTGTTCTTCACTTATTAATGACTTGTATAATAAATAACTAGAATAAGAAAAGAATGTTACAAAATTATTCTAGAATGGTGTTACCTGTTCACCTACTTAATTCTGATCTCATCGACCTTAAATGGAAATGTTTACTACCAAGAAATTCATTCGTGTGCCACTATTAGCAGAATTCATAAATTCGTTAAATCACCATTTATTTTTGCTTCAATTGTTTTCAAATAATTTCACTGATTTTGGATCAATAAATAAAGTTTCTAGTATGTTATGATTGAATCTAATTTTGCATTTTTGACAAGCTGGTATAAAATTATTTAAAATTCTAAATAAGTGATTTGTACCGTTTAAATTTTTCTCTTTTGGGTGTCTTGCCATGCTCTAAATCTAAATTAAAGAATTTGATAAAATTAGACATGCTTTAATGTCAAAAGGGGCCTTAATATTTTCCATTTCCAACATATTTACGGAATTCCATTCCCAAAAAAAGAAAAATGACAATTTGATTTTAATAAATATTTACAAGATGCATTGAAACTATTGTGTGTTAAGTTTACACTTCTAATAAGTTTATCGTTTGTTGAGGAAAAAGAGACGAGGGATTAGGATTTTTTGACCAAAATTAAGGGCAATTTTTATTTTTGATATCCAAAAAAACCCTTGTAGGTACCGAATTTTAGCCAAAACCTAAAATTCTCCCAGAAATAAAAAATTTAACTTTAATACTGCAATTTTTTGGCTCGATCGATATTTTGGTTTCATCTCATTTCAAGTTTCCAGCCTTTCTCCCACTAAAATATCAAGTGTGAAAATTCTATTAAAATTACTCACTTAAAAATTAAAACGAAATTTTTTAGAACATATTGCAACATCGATTTTTTGGATTTCAAAATTACAGGTGTAGGGAGCTCTATTTGGGTGACTGTTTCAGGAAGGCACACTATATTTTTCTCTAAAACTTTACTTTTCCATAAAGGCATAAATCTTAACGCTTCTTTTCCGCACATCACATAACCTCTTTCTTTTTCTAACCATAAGCCTAGGATTAGGATAAGAACTAAGAACAGATCTCTTCTTTTTATCCGAACAAGTAAATTGCGCGGGATATCTTAAATTTTTGAATCGGGTAACTACACAAGCAAAAATGTTCTTAACAAACTTCGATTAATCCTTCTAGTGCTTTAAATTTTTTTAATTTAGTGGCAAAATACTCGAAAGGAAAAAGTACAATACTTTCAATCCGATTTTTTTGCTATCCATTGCTACAAATTTATAATTTGTCTTCAACCAATTAAAAAGCATTTTAATTTTTAAAAAATTCAGAAGGTACTAAAAAACAATATTTTTCAGTACTTACAAAACTATCTCAAAATTTTTTAGCAATTTATTTAGAAGTAGATTATTTAGGAAAATTAAAAATACGAGTTTGCTGGTAAAAAAATGTATTTCAATTAAATAAATCAGACTTCAAAACATCGTTCAAAAAAACTCAAAAATATAAAAAAAAATGGAGCAAATTTAGAAAAGAAATACAAATCGTCAAAAATCGAATGCCCGTTCCGTCTAATACTCTTCGGCTCCTTCGCCTTCGCCCTCTCCAGAGTCCATTCCCACCTCTTCGTAATCCTTCTCGAGGGCGGCCAAGTCCTCACGAGCCTCAGAGAACTCTCCTTCCTCCATACCCTCACCCACATACCAGTGAACGAAAGCACGCTTGGCGTACATAAGATCAAACTTGTGGTCCAAACGGGCCCAAGCCTCGGCGATGGCGGTGGTGTTGGACAACATGCACACGGCACGCTGTACTTTAGCCAAGTCACCTCCGGGCACGACGGTCGGGGGCTGGTAGTTGATGCCGACCTTGAATCCGGTGGGACACCAGTCGACAAACTGGATGGTACGCTTGGTCTTGATGGTGGCGATAGCAGCGTTCACGTCTTTAGGTACGACGTCCCCTCTGTACAACATACAGCAGGCCATGTACTTTCCGTGCCGGGGGTCGCATTTCACCATCTGGTTGGCCGGTTCGAAACAGGCATTGGTGATCTCGGCGACGGAGAGCTGTTCGTGGTAGGCCTTCTCGGCAGAGATGACGGGAGCATAAGTGACCAAGGGGAAGTGGATACGTGGGTAAGGGACCAAGTTAGTTTGGAATTCTGTCAAGTCAACGTTGAGAGCGCCGTCGAACCTTAGGGAGGCCGTGATGGAGGAAACGATCTGGCCAATCAGTCTGTTCAAGTTGGTGTAGGTAGGGCGCTCAATGTCCAAGTTACGTCTGCAGATGTCGTAGATTGCTTCGTTGTCTACCATGAAGGCACAGTCAGAGTGTTCCAGGGTGGTGTGGGTCGTCAAGATGGAGTTGTATGGTTCTACAACGGCGGTGGATACCTGAGGGGCCGGGTAAATAGCGAATTCCAACTTGGATTTCTTTCCGTAGTCCACAGACAACCTTTCCATCAACAGGGATGTGAATCCGGATCCGGTACCACCTCCGAATGAGTGGAAGATGAGGAAACCTTGTAGTCCAGTACACTGATCCGCCAATTTCCTGATACGGTCCAAAACCAAGTCGACGATTTCTTTGCCGATTGTGTAGTGGCCACGAGCGTAGTTATTGGCGGCATCCTCTTTACCCGTGATGAGTTGTTCGGGGTGGAACAACTGGCGGTACGTGCCTGTTCGTACTTCATCCACTACTGTGGGTTCCAAGTCGACGAACACGGCCCTGGGTACGTGTTTGCCGGCCCCGGTTTCGCTGAAGAAGGTGTTGAAACTGTCGTCTCCACCCCCTACGGTTTTGTCGGAGGGCATCTGGCCGTCAGGTTGGATGCCATGTTCCAGGCAGTACAACTCCCAGCAGGCATTACCGATTTGGACTCCGGCTTGGCCGACGTGCACTGAGATACATTCACGCTGTGAAAAGAAAAAGATTTGATGCAAATTTCATAAAACACTGGTCCAGTGATGTCAAATTGCGGGAAATTTCACATATTGCCAAGAAAATAAGCTTAAAATCAATTCAATGGAGGAAAAGACGGAATAAAATCCGATTTAATTAACGGGAAAATTTTGTAACTGACGTTTTTTAAATTAAAAATCTAAAAATGTCACGATGCACGACTTATTTCACGGTAGGCTCGTACTCGAAAATGATTTTTTTTACGTTTATCTATCTTTCTCGAAGGGAAAATTAAATGACAATTTAATAAAAATTCATCAAATATTAATGACAATATTTAAATTTACAGAAAACTATTCTATAGTTTTCGTTTTATTCGTTGGCCAAGAAATTTAAAATTGTAGAATGCCGGCTTTGCAAATGGCGGCGCCGGCGTGGCATTCACCGACACGTCAACTTTAACACATTAAAAACGTAACGTTTCCTGCAATTTTTATTTAATATACAATACAAAATCCAAATATATTATAAAATACTCACCATTTTGCTTTGTCAAGTTTAAATTACACACCACAAATGAAATGAATTTGCTTCTGCAACAGACGTTCAGACAAGCTAGTAATGCAGCTTTCCAAACGAACTCTTTCGATTTTCTGTTTGCGTTGCTATTTATAAGCTGTTTGACGTCACCAACCAACGCCTAATTTCTAAAGCTTTCATTCGCCGCCCGCTGTCATGTGACCTAACGGAAAACGGAACATCTGTTATCCTTGTTCTCGATCTCTTTCCAATACCCCATTCGTTTTGTTTTTATTTTACAACTGTGGACATAAAATTAAATTTTAGGTCTTTTCAAAACCCTAGGAAGAATTTTTTGACAATATATGATTTCTTGAATTAAAATATACCTATATTAAAATAAAAATAGTAACATTTTTAACAGGAATATCGAGGCCATTGACTGTCACGGTCAAGAACATGTAAACCATTTGTTCAGAAAATCAATAACATCTAATATTTTTTGTATTTATTACTATTTCCTTTAAACTAAAATTTGATTACTTCTAATAGAAAATTTTATTAGATCTGCGAAAACATTTTATGGGACAATATTTAAGAAGCTACCTACTTTAGATAAAGTATTCCATATTTTTATTCTGAAATTCATTTAATTAACTACCTACCCAATAAGTATTATTTTTTATTTTTCACTATACTTTCTGTATCATTCATTACGTTCTTTGAACAATGCCTGCTTTAATGAGATAAATTTCTATTGATTTAAATATAGTCAATAATCTTACTGCAATGCAGATGCAGACAGTTATTTAGACGTCTACATCTCGAGTTTATGAATTTTAGATCTATAAATAGAATTCTTATTATAGGGGTTGAATTCTTTACTCCTAAAGGTTATTCTAAAATTGAACTAAACAAGAAATATTTCCGTACCCATTTTGAAACAAAACGTGAAACATTGCTGGCATTAACAACTAATTTTCAATTTTCCAAGTAGTGCGTAACTGTAATGCTACTATTTTTATCTATTTACGGAATTTATATGGGTATGGGTGATATGATAACAAAATTAAAGGAGATAACGTAACATGGGCATGAGTCATCGTTGAACAAGTAATAATGAGGACAAATATGTACGTGATATCACCTCCATATATGGAAGACTGGGGATGTGAGGTCATCAGCGTATGCGTATGCGACAATATTTATTTATTCACAAAATAGACAACAACCAAGGTGATGCCTATATAAAGAGCCAGATATTATTTAATTTTATCATATACATCCCACAGTACACCTCTGAACACCTACTCAAAATTGTAGTAGGTAAATGGAAAAGTCGAAAGGTGTAATCTTTTGGAGCTGTTTTAGACTTCTTTTACGTGATATAATAATTATTTACTCTTGATACCTATATTATGTATCAGAAAGATAAATTATTCGAATTATCTTTAATAATACAGTCTAGATAACAGTTAATGAACATTTAAGCCTACCAATAGTGTTTAAGTCGCCACTGTTACCATTTAATTTATTGATTGTATTTCATATGAGGCGGTAAGTACTGAGTTAAACCCGAGATCAATAAAAAATAAAATAAAAATGCGTCATTTAATGCGTCGATACGATTTTCATTAACAATAAAGGAAATTCCAGAATAAAAACAATGCTGATACAAGCATTTGAGATCATTTTTGATCTTATTGAAGTATCTACTTATCTAATTGTTTCATATAATAGGTACCTACCTATTTTCATTTGCTAGGTTAATTCCCCAAAAATGGAAAAAGATATTGCAATATTTAGGGAAAAATCAACATAAACTATTTTTTTTAATTAGCCTTGATGTCAAATACATTCTTTTATTTCAAAAATTTATTTTATGTTAAACTTGCATAGTAGGCTAGTAAGTTCTTGGTTTTTGTTTATACACGATTGTTTTAGACTAAAAATTCACTGCATTGTATTTTCAGTTGCTTACTGCATCTTGATCTCTTTGTATTTATGATTTAAGAGTTGATTGTTGGGCTAAAAATTGACTGTGTTGTATTTCCAGTTGCATAATTCCGTTTGGCCGCTAGATGCATAGATAAATAAATATCTTTTTCTATGGCTAGATGTTAATAACTTTGAATATACTAGGAAAGCGTAGCTTATACAGAGTGATTCATTAATAATTGTACATACGCTAACTGGATAATCCTGGGCTGAAAATTGAAGAATTGACACAGCGCTTAGATAAAATATGGGTCCTTATTAGTTACAGCCTACAGGATATTTCATTTAAAAAATTTTAAATGATTTTTGCCGTATACTTTGTAACCCTGTTTGATATTTCCCTGTCATACTTGGCATAAAATTTAGATACTTTGCAACAAATTAAAAAATGCTACATCGTTCATGGCTACTACCAGAGGTACGACAGGAGTAGAGGGGCATTTTACCGTTCCCAACTTCTACGCCACTAGCGGAATTTTAATTTTTTGATACAATTTTTCAATTCTTCAATACTTTCTATGCAATTAACCTACAATTCCTTCATAGCGGCAAAGTCGCATTATTTCTCGAGATTTTTAAAAATAACCCTAGGGCTGCATTATCATTTTTATTTAATTACATATGTAATTTATTTGTCATATTATTATTATCCATGTCGGTGTCTTCTGTCATGGGATTGCATTGCATTAACTGAATTATCAAACAGGGTTAAAGTAAAGAGCAAAAATAATTTAAATTTGTTTAAATAGAACACTCCGTAACTCCGTAAGGAGCCATATTTTATCTGAGCGTTATCCATGGTTATATGTGTCACTTCTTCATATTTTTAGCTCAGGATTATTAAGTCAACGTATGTACAATTATTAATGAATCACTCTGTATAGCAATAGTCAATAGTGCAACTCTTATTTTGTCATTAAATGGCGACTTGAGATATGTATAAAATTTGACTAATTTAACCCAGAGACAATAGATAACTATAGATAGCTAACTCGAGTGGAGGGGTAAGGACTGTAATAAGTATCAGCGCCAATGTGCCAAGTGTATCAAGTAGAAGTCATTTAGCGGGACTTTTAAAATATATTGATAATATTAAATAATAAACTTAATTTTGCTTAAAATGATTATATCTCATACTGAGACTGTAAATAGTATACCATAAAGAGACAGTATGCCACATTACTTTAAATTTTGAAACGTCATCAAAGTAATGTACAATAGTGTTTTTTTAAGTATATTATCTACAATCTTAGTATAAAATATAATCATTTTAAGCAAAAGTAAGTTTATTAAAACAACCCCTACATCAATAATCCTTCTACTTCATGGGATTATTTCTTAATTGTTAATGGCAAAAAATACTCAAACTCTAAAATACTAAATACTGCCACAGAAAAGTAATTTCAGACAATATAAGTGATATAGATATTATTTAAAATATTGTTTCTTTCTAAAGGATACAATTGCTTATTTTGTTTTTAATTTTACTTACCTAATATGTACTTCAAATGATTTCTTTGCACTGTTGTAAACAGTTTTGTTTATTTTATTAAATAAAATGGCATTTGTTTTTTTAATTATTTATAGAAAATTACAATACGCTGACATATTGCAAGTTATATTATACTATAAAATATATAAATTAAAATACTTTACAAGCTAGACCACACAAACACATAAGGTATAAAGAACACGGCCTATATTATAAATATAGGCCGTGTTCTTTTATTCAAAATAAGCTTAATATGCAAATTGAAATTCAAGAAATGTTAAATTTGTTTAAACTACACTTTTACTAATAGAAACATGTCTAATACAAATATTTACACATACTATTTAAAATAAAGTAAGCACCTTTATATCTTAATGAAGTTTCAGTAATTGAGTCTACCGCACTAACTATACCTGTTCGGTTGGGGTTATACAATCCCTTGAAGTACCTGGTATTGAAATAAATGGATTATCCTCTTCTTCACCTTTAAAGAGAATTGAATTTATTACAATTTATACAGTTCTATAAAAGTATTACTAAATAATCAAATAAAATTCTGTAAAGGACACTGCAAATAAATTCATGCATTGATTAAAAATAGTACATACTTCAGTCAACGATTTATATTTATTTTACAGTAGTCACTAATTTATATTGCAAATAACGCAAATAACCTCCAATAAAAGAATATTCTAATCTATAAATGTAAATTGGAAACATTTTAAAAATTTTAATTCTGGTTAAGTAAATGCGAAATTACCTGGCTGCCTTAATGTGATTTGAACTTCAGAATATATATTGGGTGTATTGCATTCAGTAGAAGTGCTTGGAATAGGATCTGGTACTTCCAAATGAGTTTCTGTTTCACAACTTCCATATTTATAAAGCGAATTTTCCTGTGTCGGACTTTCATGAAAATCTAAAGTACACATACAAAAATATTGACACAATATTTTATTTAGTTTTTATATATTTACCTGACAAAAATAATATGGACAAACTTCCATATTTTAACTTTTTCTCCCCAGGAGTTCGACAAAATTCACTGCTTATTGCATACTCTGCTGTATATAAGCAATTTGAGGATCAAGACTTCAGTGTATGATTACCAATACTCTTTACCCAAATATCGTATACCTGAAAGAAAGTGTAATAAAAATATTGTATATAGGTTAAACATTTACGGTACAATTGTTTCCTTTATATATGTGTTTTAATTCTTCCTTACGTTTTCATCACAATTCGGTCCACAACACACAAAAACCATTGTCCTATTATAGTTTATAATCAATTAACAATAAATAAAATACAACAATACCACAAAACCATCCACAAAACAAAATAAATTCAAATAGTAAATGATAAACTTGGTTCCTGTTTTATCAACACCCAAGATTCCTAGATGCCAGCGCCAAAATGGCAAGTGTATGAACTATTGCGTAATTCTCCCCCACCACAGAGAGTGCGCAGCCCCTGATTTAACCTTATAACTACATGGATGAGGCATGCATATTGCGACAGTGTAGACGAGTGACAGATAGAGGAAGAGACTGTTCGTGTACGATCTTTCTCTCTCGCACAGGCACGCCATTGGCTAAAGCAACTCCTTCCCAAAGGTTAAATGGAGAGAGAATAAGTACCCAAAGTATCGCTTCTTCTTCCTACAGCATCTACCCTTTTTTAACACGCGGTGCTTTCTCCTAATAATTTAGCAATACGCTAGCGTTTAAATTTTGATCAAACTATCTTGAAATAATATAAAATATTTGTTAAAATTTTCTGAAAAAAAAATATAAAATATCCTCAAATCTGACAATCACTGTTAAATCGCAGTATTGTATCCAGTATTGCCATACACCTACATAATTTTATGCAATGTGCATAATTTCGCATGTCTTTATACAAGTGCATAATAATTCATGAACATATATAATTTTTGGAAAATTAGGTGCCATTTATTGCTAAAGAAACATTGTCAATATACTACCAACTTAATTTTGCAGAATTTTGGTGGTTTGAATATACATATTCCAAAATTAGCATATGGCACCATTGATGCTCTCGTGTTTTAATTGTTGCATACTCTGCTGTTTTCCTCACTTGAAATACTTGAATATTATACTACATTCTCTCTTATATTCATTTATTTGACAAGTCAATAATACTTGTAAGGTTAATTAAAAAAAAACCTTATAAAACAGAAAGTTTTATTCGACTACATTTGTTTAAAAAAACGTTAGTTATGCATTTGAATATTACCAGGGATTCAAAATCAAAGTCGGAAATTGTCTTTTGAGTTGTACATTTGGGATACTTTCCCCACTTAAATCATCAAAGTTTAAACACTTTATTTATCAACTAATGTACAAATAAACAATATTATACGACAGCATTCACTTGCCCAGCGCTTCTAATTCTTTGATTTCTTTATCGGCAGCAGCCTTCTTTTCAAGAGCAAGTTTAGCATCACGTTCAGCTTTCTTTTTGGATTCGACTTCTCTAATGGCAGCCTCTTTCTTGGATAACCTATTATGATGGAATGCTCCGTATAGAACTCCTACACCGAGAAAACTCCATCTCCCAAACTGGAATGAAATTTATAAGGTTATGGCGATTATGTAATGGAAAATGGAGAATAAAAAATTTAATAGGTAGTATTAATACATACTTTGATTAGAGGCGAAACGCGGACGGGTGCCTGTATATCTGCCATTCTTAATTTTGTAATTTAATATACAGTTTGTAAAAATGTTAAATCGACTAATAAATTTGTAATGAAACTGACAGAACCATAGAATAGAACTGAACCACTGACGATACGAACATTCAGAGATATTACTGACTAATGTCAACATTGGACAAGTTAACAACCTGATAAAAATAAAATTACATTTACGAATAATGAGGAAAAAAGAGCTTAAATATCTCTTGTATAAAGATTTCTCGACTTTAAACATTATGCGAATATTAATGTTACAGTCCCTAGATTGATATAGACATAAATTTACGGAGTAGCCATACTATGAGAAATAAATATTCAACTATTCATTCCATTCAATGATTCAGGTTCCAAACGCATGCTCATTGCTCATTGGTTTTGCACGTTTTGGAAAATTACATGGAAAATCATTGTATTTCGAACTTCGAGCTTAGAGGTTCAACTCCGAGCTCGGAGACGACAGTCGATTAGACACGATTCGACTTTTCGACTTTCGACTATTTATCTGTGGTATTTATAAGTGTGAGGATTGCGGGTTGTGGACGGCACAATTTTTTGACGTCTGTAATAATGTGACAATATTCGGTGCAAAAAGTTAAAATCGAAAATTGTAGTGATTTGCAGAGACACTATGGCTATATTACTTTCCATTGTGTCTATTGTCGCTTCCATATTTCTAACACCTTTTCTTATGCTGTTATTGTGCATAATATTTTTGGCATCAATCGGAAAATCCTTAGGAGTTAGAAGATTATATGTTAAAATTTTGCTGATGATTTTTGAGGTAAGTTTCTACGTATAAGTAATTATTAATACACATATCAGTTGGCGAGTTGTTCTGGTATACAATTTTGTGTTACAAAATTGAAAAAATAGTACACAGTATTAGAAAACCAAAATTCGTAATTATCGTAGAGAAAGTTATTTGTAATTAAATACATTGTTTACCTACGTCTCAGTTATTCAAAAGTTTCAAAATGTGGTATCAGATTTTCTGAGAATAATCTGGAACTACCTAACCTTTGAAAAAAAAATAATGTGCCTACCTATTTAAGAAGAAATTTTCATATTTATGTATTTACATCCAGTTCATTCATAACCACAATAAACACTTTCTCTTTTCACATTACGCGAAACTTACGTTTTATTGTTTGAATGAAAAAAAACTGGTTAAATAGTTCCAATAAACAGAAAGCTGAAATAGTTCGTGACAGGAAAACAATCTAGATGTACTTACAATTAAATTGAAATTTATGCCTCATTATTCCACACTATCTAACACATTTACCTGCTTTGTACTTTTGATCATTACTATTGCGACAGGTAGATACTAAAACTTATATGTATGTACCTATCCTATATCGATTATTTTTTGCTTTTAAATGATTGTGAATATTAGTTAGTTTACATTTGGTAATTACCTATATCATGCCCGTTAATAAAATTTACATAGATTGTTAATATGCCCCACAGTTCAGTTTTGTAAATCTTAAGTCGTGCAGTTTGTAGACGACGTTTCAAAATATCAAGTACGGATTTTAGGAAAACTTGTTTGTCTTAAGTTAATTCTGGCTATTGTGATCCTAATACCTAGTCATTATTACGAGATTAAGGTTAACGTTGGAGTTTCCTGTACTGTTGTTTACTTGAGATAAAAATTTTCTGTAGATTTATGTTTGTGAATGACTTTCACCTCCTTTGTCTTTAAAACGGCCCCCCAGAACATTTTAAAATTATTTTTAGACACTCTTAAATTGTAACTCGACTTTATCATCCCTTGCATTTTTAGTCTGATAGGTGTCTCAGGATATTGTATTGTAGTATCCAAAGATAAAAAAATTGCATGTTGTGGATATAAAACAGTATAGTAGTTAGCAGTAGTAGTGTAGTTCTTCTGATTTACATAAAAGCTGTATTTAACTTCTAGAAATTCTTACAGTCAATAAATCTGCAGTATAACTAATAATTAATTGGTGTTAAATTTTCCGAAGTTGGTCATTTAAGAACATATAAATAGCAATAAACAAACCCAATGTGTTATAATATTCATGATTTCTAACTGTGAGCACCCTGTATATTTATTATATTTTGGTTCTTTTATCAGTAACCTGCAAGAAATTCAGGTCAACATTACAGTGGCTTTTATAGCACGTGAATTACATGATTTACTAGACTCTGGGAAGTTATATAAGTATTTACAATCGTTTTGATAAGAAACCAACCATTTGTAAACAATTTGTAACTAAATACTTAGTTGATGTATAAATATTCATTTTAATGGCTGGCGGTCCGTTTTGGTAGTTTATATTATGATAAATTAAAAATTTGTTAAGTACATTTCGCAAAATTTAAAAATGTATCAACATTCGGATATGTTCTTACAAAAATAGACGGTGGTTGTTACGTATTATTCTATGTCAAACGAAAATAATTTTTATTTTGCACAACTGACCTTTGTAACACTTAATTTTGGTAGGTTTGCTGTTTTGACATTTTCTCTCAATTATAGAATTTGTGAAACACTGTTAACCATTTGGAAATAAAAACACAATAGTTATGTCACGAAAAATGTTTAACATATTCTTTATGGTCGAAGGATCCAAGTAAAGGCAGATTTTTACAATTAGGTATTTTACTTTGCTTATTTTTTCAAATTTAAGTACTGTGATTCCTGTATATCTAAAGAGCCTTATACAAAGTGTCCTTAAGGTGGCCATATTCCTGTCCGAGAAATAGTGAAATTTCTGGCGTTTTTCGGTATTGAAATCTTTAAAAGTAAAACGTGTAGAACAAAAGTAAGCACAAAAATAAAATCCTTGATGTTTTGTTTATTCATTGTTACCATTTAAATTTACTCAAATAAAATAATAACTAAAAAAAAGCGTTTGTAAAACATGCGTTTGCTGTTATTCTAACCCCACATTTTAATAATTATTTTCACGTACTTATAAATAAAAGTAAACAATTTTATATGTTGTAGGACTAAGCAAGTAAATGTTATAAGAATATTTACATGTGGAATTATATATAAAAAAGTTAGTATTTTCGTAGATTTCAGTATCTAAAACCTTGATGGTTTGATCGTTTTTTGCACCTGTTTATTCGTTTTACTGCGGCGTCTTTGAAAATACTCAGGTGGCATGACATAATATTCCTATTATTTGATAAGCTTTAGATTATTCAGTTATTAAATGTTTGAAATTATTTGTCTGCGGAAAACACTATTTAAAGAATATGGGACCCTTAAACTGACTGGCATCATTTTTGGAGGATGCTGAGCAAGTTAGCTGAAGTACAGTCACTTATAACCTATTATCAATATGTATTCATATAATATGCGTATTAGTAATGCATTTTTTTGCAAAAATCAGCTTTCTTAGTGTATTTTGGAAGTTATAAGATAATTGAGTTTGTAATTACCATTTTTATCACCAGTATCTCGGAAGTAGAAGCGATTAGAAAAAAACATATTTACCTAAGTGTTCATGTTATTTTGGCTTGCTAAAAGTAAATTAAGTTGGTAAGCAGTGGTGCAACTGACCATCCCAAAATCGCCCAACAGATGATGCCCAAAACATTACATTTTCTTTTCAATTTAAAATATTTGAAATTTAAAACAAACATTTTTTGTTAAATTTTATTATACGTATTCCTTTTGTTTAACAAATTGAGCCGTTATCTTCCTTAGGCCTGTATGTAATTTGACATCAAGAGTTTGATATAGCCATCATAGACGTTATAAACTTCTTTATTAATGTTTATCAATTATATAAAAACGGGTGGAAAACAAAATATCCCAAAAAATAAACGTTCGGCTTTGTTGATATCGAAAGTTAGTTTTACTATAGTCGTCAATTTATTTCTGTTAAATTTCTGTAGGCCAAGAAATTAATGGTTTTTACCTAAAAATATTATTTTTACAGTTAGTTGCACATAGTTTTAAATTAGGAGATATCCTTCAATGTGTAAATTATCCGACACTTATTTTTGAGTGAATACCTATTATTAGTAGTCGTCCGTATTATCTACCTACTCGAGACAAATATCAAATTCAGTTTCATATTTAAAAAAAAAATTGTAAAAACAAATTACATTACAGTTTAAAACAGTACTAATTAGTTTACACTGAATTTGTATTAGAACTATTTATATGTATACATATATATAATATTTCTATTACATCATCAGTCTCTGTTAACCACATTAATACTTACATTATAATTATTTTGAAGTACCTACTCAGATTGTTGATTTGTTCTTGTTTATTTTTATTAGTTTGTTTATTTTTATTAGTTTGTTAAAATCCCATTTAATTGTCATACGTGTTTTTACCAAGGAAATTAATCTAGGCATTTCTTCTTTCTAAACTTTTTATAACTTGTTGATATACTTTGACGCTCGTTTTGTGTTTTTTTCCTTAACGTATCGCCACAAAAAACGCAAAATTTAATTTTAATCGCAAATTAGCACCCTGCCTTTAGGAAACAACAGCAAGTAGGAAAAAAACATATTTATCTACATGTTAACACTATTTACTTGCATAGCATCTTCCCAAAATTATCAGAGACAACTTGTTTAATGTAAATACATAATGGAAGATTACACGCTCGCAAATGTAGAAAACATAGTCTTAATTGCAATAACACACTGACCTACAGGTTGACCAGACCTTGCTCCCATTGAAGTCGCCTTGAATCGGCTTACTAGGTATTATTACACAACACTTTACTCAAGAATATAAATTTCCTTGTTGATATGAGATATCCGTTCCTTGGTAAGCAGCAAAACTTGACTTCCAACAAGTATACAACTGTGTGACTTGCATTAATGTGTCTAGAAATGACTGGTATTTTTTTTTGATCACTTATAATGTCATCTAATTAACCTAGATGATCCTCCAATAGTCAAGGTTCAGTTTTTGTGGGGGCTATTTAATTTTAGAAATACAAACGTAATTATTTGTACCAGGAAGATTATTTTTATTTGGAAACAAAGGTACCTACTCCTGCATTGTTATTGTTAAAAAAAAACAATTTTGTGACAGCACGTGATTATATATACGTGATTGTAACATGGATAAGTGTGTACATAAATTGAACTTAAATGTAACAGAATCAATAGGTTCGTGCTTAAAACAAATATATTAAGTAGTGCAATTGTTGCATGCTGATAAACTTAAGCGTTTAAGTGGGTATAAAAAAAAAACTAAGCTTTTGGATCTGAATACAAATAAGCGATCATATATCGTTCATTTTTATTTTGAGTGATTACGGATTGTCTGTCATTAAATCGACTTTATTCTCATGGTGGACGAATGTATGTCATCAAAAACTGTTTAAAAATTGCTTACATTAAGGGGTCACGTTTGTGAATTCTCATCGTTCTGATAATGTCCCGCAATCATTTAATTTAGATTAGAAATTCGCATTCGTCCAGTGGCGGCGTGTTCAAATTAAAATCGTTTTATGAGACGTAACACAACTTCAACTATTCACAAAAAGTTTTAGTTAGCTCGTGCTCGTAATAATTAATCGTCTTTGTTAAAATTGTGCCGAATGCTTGTTTGTTGCTTGCGTGATATCAACGAAGTATATTTTCAAGGATGTAACGAAAAATTTAAATATTAAGAGGTTTAGTAATAAGCCATCAATTGTACTGTCATAAATTTAATAAGAGGTAAAAAAGATGATGGATTTACGTAGTAACGATGTGCGTTATAATGTTTTTTTCCTGTGGAAGGTCATTATCGTTAAAGAAATTTACTGTATGCAAACGAGTTGAGCAGAAAATTAATTGAACGTCCTTTAAATTGACTGTTGTTTAATTTTTATGTATTTATTAAATACATTAAATTATCTTAAGCGGTTTAGAAATTAAAAATTAAAAACTGATTTTTAAAAATTTTTGGCACGCTGTAGCTGAACAATGACTGTCCCTAAGACCCCACATTGATATAACAAAAAACCCTCGAAAAAAACCTTACTTTTGGTCACAGAATACGCCCCTGGATTTTTGACCCCTTCTTAAGAAACACCCCGTAACAGAGAAGTTATTTATGATTTATTAGAGGAATGTGTTTTCCAAGCATTTGCGAGTTATTTAAACTGCATTTAAACATATTGTAGCTATCTGAATGTATTTACATTTACTTGCATTTAATCATATTTCTGTCGAGTTTCTATGTAAATATATTTCTTTAAATACCTACTTTTCTTAGATTTGTACACCTCTTTAAGAAGTTTTTACTAAAATTTTTTCGTGGAAAATATATCTGTTTACGAATACATTTTAGTATTTGTTCTAGATTTGAAAATAAATCTTTCATCAATGCCAAAATCGCAATCCCGATGTTTTTCTTAGTTCTGCAAACTTCTTTTATTTACATATTTATAACTAATAATTATATGTACTGTATAGGTAGATAATTAAGTTTATCGTTTTTTAAATAAATATATGTAATTAAAATCATTAAAATTCCTTCATCATAATAGTTTATTATAAAAATAAACAGACACAATAATTCTTCACTAATCTTTTCAACATACAGCTGGTTTTATATTTCACAGACATTCCATATATTTTATGATTAGGAATAAGAATTCAATCTAGAAATAGGTTGGTGCATTTTTTTATCTTCTTAACATTGAGTGTGGAAATCTACAGGAAAGCAAAGTCATTGTCCTTTCGGTATCAAGAGAGGTTCACTGGAGTTTATTTGGTATTTTTAGACGTGACATATATATATTGCATATCGTAATAAAAGGGTTTCAGTTATACGTTAATCCTCCGTATTAATCATTTATTAAAGCAATAAATAATCTTCTCTTCTATTGTTTGCCTTTTGTACTTTGTCCAATATTCGAAAGTAGTTTTGCCAAAGTCTTACTAAAAGAAAAGATATCTGTTCTATCGTAAAAAATAAATGACAAGATTGCAATGCGTATTTTATAATACGCCAATGATGACGACAAATGATAGTTATTTACGATAAGACAGGCAAATAACCAAATAACAATTTTCTACGAAATACCTGTTCGTAGTTTTCTTTGACCTATTAGATGATTTTATATCAGTTTTGTCTTAATTAAATTGGTTTTAAAACAGCTATAAATAGGTCATATATTTAGAAAAATAATAATATGACTTTTTGAAGGCAAGTAATCAATTTTATGATGAAACTGCAAGCCCCCCCCTGCACAATTTATATTTCAGAATTGATACCCTAAATTGTTAATTTAATTTTAATCAATAAAACACGAAAGCTTGTTTTTTTTTAGCGTTAAGTATGAACATTTTTATTGCCTTCCCTTAAATAAACAACAATAATATATTTCCTCTACATTGTTACTCATTATCTTTATTGACACATTATTGACATTGACCTAACAACAGCTGCTTTGATGCTTACTTTATTACATATCGATCTGGCACATTTATTACGTTTGACCAATAAATTGCTGTTTATTTTTTATTGTACGTTAAGTCACTTGCACTAATTTGATCAAAACAAAAGCAATATAGATTACCAAATAAATTGGAAATAGGATAATATAAAATTAATCCTAATGGACTTGCACAGTAAAACTAAAATATAGTCCCATTATAAAAAAATATTAGTGATATAAATTAGTGAAAAGTGGTAGTAGGTAGGTATATACAATTATTCGGCCCTACCTAATAATAAAAATTGTTTACCTACCTCGACATGCCCAAGTATAAGTCATAGCAATAAACTAAAATAATAAAACTTGTATATACTAAGCTATATATATAAAAATATTTACAATGGGGTCTGTAAATATAAAGATATGATACGTCGGAAATCATAATTGCAACAGAAACGGCGATAGTGATGATGAAATTGGTTATTGTTCTTTTAATTGTTTGATATTTGACCGCAGAAGCACGGTGCGGACCTCGTACTTTGATACGTTTTGCAATGGTGGAGAATGGGGATACTAAAATGTAAATTTAGTTCATTGGGAAATGTGCATTCGCGATGTTATTCTCGTTTTTCACTAGCGCATTATTTAAAAATATGATTCTAATATTTATAAAGAAATTAATGTTAAAAAGATATTAAAATGAAAAAAATACTATAGTTCAAAGTTTTCAATGCGATTTGTCGTCGTTTCGTATTATTTCAGGTGTCCCTCAGGGTTCACATTTGGAGACTCAAATCATCAACCTTAGGAAAATTATAGTTAACGCTATATTTTATAAATAACATAAAATAATTGATGTGATTGATCAAATTCGCATAAAACGAAACAATTTTTTAATACATAAATTTCTATGTGGCCCACTATCCAAATATTGGTATGAGTACTATAATATTTGCACATAATAATGTCTTCAATGACATGCATAGCTAATAGTCTTGTAATACATTTTTATTAAGATGGAATGTAAATCAGCTGGTTTAACGTGTTCGAAATATTGATCAAAGTCCGTGTTTTTGACTTAAAAATATCGTGTAGTTGTACCTTGACTTATAAATTTATTTTATGAATAAAAAAATTGTCCTATAAACAGTGTAAAGTATCACTAACAGTCCAAAGGGTAAAAGTCTATGTTTTACTGTTGATAAATCTTTTATGTTTGTTTTGACTGAAAAGTTTCCTCACTTCAGACAAAAGAGAGCATTGGTCAAACACTGTCACCGAAATTGATTGAAATATTTATAGTTAGGATACAAGTAAATATAAAAATTGACCTTTAATACTTTTCACAACCCGACAATAATAGTCCATCTTGTAAAATTGAGAATAATGGAAATAAGTTTATCTATAAATTGTAGTATGGCAGAAAAAACATTGAATCGGCACAGAAGCATAAGATTCTGGAGAAAAACGAGGAAGACGATGAAGGCTACAGCGAAGAAATTTGTCCCAACACTGGTATAACAGTACCAAAAGAAATAAAACCCGTAATTCCTCATAATGGCCTGAAAAATGGAATGGTTAACGGAGGAAATACTTTGATCAGCAGAGACGAAAAACTTATTTTCATCCCGGAACCACCCACTAAGTTAAATAAGGAGGAAGAAAAGCTTTCTGATGATGAACTGAAAGAAGGAAATAACAAGGTAATCTAGAACATAAAGTCTTAAGTAGAATTAGTATATACCCTTTTGAAATAAAATTATTCATTTCACACTAACCCACGTGCAATTTTTTAATAACTCCTGTATATGGAGCCCTGTTATTCATTTTTTAAGTATTTTGTGTTTGTTTTCAATTCATTAAGTATTCTATGCTACAAAAGCAAATTATTGTTGATAAACAGTAGTTTGTGTTAATTAGTGTATAGTCAATAAAAAAATAATTGCATGTTGCTTTTCTAGCCGCCATAATTATATCTAAACTATTGTATATACCTATCAGCCTTCACTTTAAACTCTCCTATTCCTCAGAAATTCATATCTGTTTTAAGTTGAAGCGGAATAATTTAAAGTTTTAAGTAGAGGATTGTCACGTGGGAAACTAGTGACGAAATCTTAAAATGAAGGAAAAAAACGATCTTATTTCGATAAATGATAAGGGGCTGTGGTATATTTGTAGACTCATTAGTGATAAGGAAGTACATTAGTAGAAGTATTTACTTTAAAATATATGTCTAACATCTCTCGTCAATTATTTCTGAACCTTTAATAAAATGACTAAAATGACTATCTGTTGTTCTTTTACGCAATACTTATCAATTTTTCTTTACGTATAATTACACTGGTTCATTTTTATATGTGGCAAATGAAGTATAAATAGAGGAGTACTTGTTAAAAATGTGATAACCGTAATTGAAATTTTTTAGTTCATTGCAAAACTCCACCCAAGCTTATTCAAATGTAAAGAGCAAATATTAGATAGTATAATAGACTGACAAACAGAATTGCCTTTATCAACTCTTTTGTTAAAGATAAAATTTGCCTATACGATGTACTGAGTGATCGATATGTCTTAGGCATGTATTTTTCTTGAAAATGACTGAAGATACATTGCAAGTGCATTGGTAATTTTTTTTCTTCTTCTGTGGTGACGCTGCTGAAAAGAATTTTTATTGTAAATAATGATGGCTAAATGACCGGCAAAACTAGAGAATTCTTTCAAAAATTATATTTCTTTGGATTAGTGTTTTGTTATGCTTACTGTACATTTCTAAACTGTTTTTGTACTTTATAAGATCTTATGCCTTTTCATTCTGGTTGCATGTCATACATATCACATTTTAGGCTATTGATTATATCTAAAAAAAAGGTTAAAAGAAACTATGACGTTCAAACAATTTTATTACATGAATCGTTTAAAGGGTCATTTTAGATGAAAAAATCGCGGAGTGCTATTAAATTAGAGGGTGGAAATTGGAGATAAGGGTGAAAATGCACCCCTTTCAATTTTTTAATTGTAGCTCGAAAACGAAGCAAAATTTTACTATAGTTCATAGGAAAAATTATTTAGATAATTTCTCCCATCGAAATGGCTTATTTAAAAAATTTAAAAGGAAAATTTTATGCAAAAGATTGTTAATAAACAATAAGAAAAAAAGCAAAAAATTCGATTTTTTTATTTTTTATTTTTTTACTTTTGTGCGTGTGTCTAGCTTTTTTTTGAGTAAAGATAGGTATAGGCATTGCTTCATAGAAAAAAAATATGGATGAAATTTCCTTCAAAATAAGGTTGTAAAGTATTTTGGTATAGGAAAAAGTTTGGAGATTGAATTTCCCATCGAAATGGCTTATTTAAAAATTTTAAAAGAAAAATTTTATGCAAAAAATCGTTAATATTATTTTTTTGTAGAAGTAGGCAAGGAAAATTGCTGTACAAAAAATCTAGATGAGATTTCAAAATGATGCGTTTTCAAAAGTTTTTGGACTAATATTGACAGTTATAACCGGTCAAACTTAAATATTTTTTAGATTTTTGCCATTTATAACATAATTATGATTATAATTCTTATTATTTTTACAACAAATTGGTTCTTTACTTCATAAAAAAATATTATCGATAATGATTTTAATTAAATATAGGAAAAAGATTGGTTATTTTATGTATTTGGTGGTCATTTTTGAATGTAACCCATCACATATGGTTAGTAACTTTGGTCATATTGGTCATTGGTCATTCGTTGGTAAAATTTCTCTATTTAGTATTTCTTTATACTTTCAACTGTTTTTGAGATGTCGAGTCCAAAATTACTTTCTAAAATTCTCAGCTTTGATGAAATAAACGCAGATAGGATTAGAAAAGGATTCATTTGAACTTTACTTTTCAAAATGAATGTGCCTACCTAAAGTTTATGTAATGATTGTACCTAAATTATCACATTTTGACTAAATCTTCAAAATAACTTAAGTATGTTCACATTGAAAAGAAACGCTTCAATACACATTGCTTAAATTTCATCCGTTTTTCATATACTAAGGCTCTCTTGAAATTTAAAAAATAACCGAAATTATAAGAAAACTAAATAGAACTGAGTCTTGAAATTGAAAGTTTATTTCGGTGGCATCAGCATAAAAATATGTTTTTGAGAGAAAGAAAAACAAATACCGGTGTGAAAATATGTAGTAAAATAGTGTTTTGTCCCATATTTGAGTGACACCCACTGAAAATATAACCCCATTTTCAGAATTGACCATTCTATACTAGGAATACATTCCGTTTATCAATTTTTATAGGAAAAATATAAGGACTTTGACTTATCAACAGTATTCGACTACTTAAAAGTCGGAGTAGAGGCTATCATAGAAGACCAAGTAACATCAAGGTTTGAAACGGAAGAACTGAAGAACTGGAATTTATTGATCCGCACGAACCGGGGATACGAGTTCATTTCCTGGAAACTCACCATAATATGGATGTGTGGCTTTTTCATCAGATACTTTTTCCTGTTCCCTTTGAGGGTCATTATTTGCTTTGTCGGGGTAAGTATTCATTAATACTTGATAGATGGCGACACATGCACACACTCTGTTACCTTTTGGTTATCTTGCTGTAAAAAATCCATAAATGATCATTACGATAACAATAATTGTAATATACTTTTTCATTTACCGCGAAAATATAGTTTCGGTATTCTTTTATTTATGGATAAAATTTCAAATAACGCATTTGAACTGTTTTTCTTAATTTTCGATTCCCCCCATAGATACTCTGGCTAGTAATAGCGACAGGCCTCGTAGGAATGTTACCGCCAGGTCGTTTCAAAAGATGGGTAAACGCAAGAGCCTACATCATGGCGTTTCGTATAATATCCAGATCGTTTTCGGGGGTTGTCAATATTCACAATAAACAGTGGAGACCGGCCAGGGGATCGGTATGCGTTGCGAACCATACCTCACCGTACGACGTCTCTATTTTATCCGTAGACAATTGTTATTCTTTGGTGAGTTACCAGAATTCAAACCGAAAGGGGCCTGGAATCGTAGCTTGCTTCTGATTCAGCTTTTCGAAGGCCTCAGCTGTTTATAGATTTGTGGAGTTCTGTGGAGCCATGGAGACGTAAAGCTTTATGTGTCGTATTTCAGAGCGTTATAAGGTTAGGTAGTGTTGTAGATTATGCGGTACAATTGGTAAATCAGATTCGGGGAAGCAATCGGAGGTTGCAAAGTGTAAAAAATAGTTTTTAAGGTGCACTACACAATACACTTCATTAAATACCTCTTTAAACTTTACAACAAAAATAATATTAATAAAACACAACACTGTACTAGGTATACAAATTCTATTTAGATCCCTATAAAAACTATTTCATGCAGTATGTTGCGAAATTACGTAAACCGATAAACTGAAAACTAAAATAAATGTGATAAAATCAACATTTTCGTCCTTCCAAATTAGCGTCGGCTTTTATTTGTTGTTATATCACATCAGGTGTATTGATATTACGTAGTTCAACTGGACTGGAACAATGTCCTTGACACCGAGATTCACAAATTAAACACAGTGCTTTAAAAAGTAGTAACAAAAACTTTCTATCAGATTTGCGAGTATTTTTATTTGTAAACAACAAAAATAATTGTACAAAACATACATTTGTTTACTTAAAATTAGTAACATATCCACAATTAGTTAGTTTTTAATAAGTCTTGCAAAAAATATTAATTTTTATCGAAAAATTTTTAATGTTTGGTGCTTCGTCCGTATTGACAAAAAAAAAATTACATTTAAGTAGTAGGTTTTTACTGTCGAAAATGTGCAGTTTGAACACTGCAACATTGTATTGTTTTTTGTAGTCCATCTGCTCCTAAAACTTAATGAAAATATAAACTAATGCAAAAAATTTAAGTGTCAAAAGAATTTTCGAAATTTTTCCGTGATTTTTGACAGACTGTATTTAGGTGAAAAATATTCATATCGGGATTTTAAAAAAAAGCATTTTGAAGCTCTAAGATTCTAGGTTTTAAATCTTTCGGTCGAAATTTTTTAGGAGCTGCGCTTATCATGCAATTCTAAGAAATAGTGCGACAAAAAAAAATTTCTTTCTTATTTTCCACGGACTTGTTTTTCAGCTACGCCATTGCATGGACCAGATAGCTTATTTATTCAGCTTCAATTTTCTTTTTTTTTAAATTTCGATACGACCATTTTTCATTGAAATATCGGACTTTCAATGGAAAAGGATCTTTTTGTCTTCAATCATCGATATCTTGGCGATAAATGGTCGTATAGAGAATTGAAGGGCAGTTTCGAAAACTGGAATAAATTTTCTATAACATGCTACCGCAACTTTTAGGTAAAATTTTTTTTTCATTTTTTATATGAATTTTAAAAAACAGGAAAAAGGTAATTTATGGTTATTTAGAAAATTGACGGCTAAATTAGAAATATTTACGAAATGACTAATGTTAAGCATGACTTTTACAGTTCGATATACCCAGAAGAATCCTGTGAAGTTCTCAATCTAGCGAACCGTTTCTTTGTTTCTAACAGTCAAACTTTTGAAAAAAATTAAAGGGTCACGTTTTTTTTAGCTTAAACACTTCATAATCATAATTAAAATGGAAAATATATTTTTTTTCAGCTTTTTTCATATTGTTACTGTAAATAATGTTTAAATTAATAAAAAATAAGATTTGAATTATTTTTTCAGAGAAAAGTTTTGAAAAAAACTGTTTTTTTAAGTGACTGCACAAAAATTAGAAATTTGTCTCAAAAAACGGTATGAATCGGGGTCGAAATCTGTTTTTGTTCATCAATTTAAACGTTATTTGCGGTAAAATTGTCAGAAAACCACAACCACACAGTGTTTAAGGTCAAAAAACGTGACCCTTTAATTTTTTTCAAGTTTGTTTGAAACAAAAAAACGGTTTGCTAGATCGAGATAAAATTTCACAGCGTTCTTCTGGGTATATCAAACTGTATTTTTTTATTTTTTATTTTTTACTCGAATTTAACTGTTAATTTTCTAAAAAACTATAAATTACCCTTTTTTCCTTGTTTTTTAAAATTGGTGTAAATGAAAAAAATATTTTTTTTTTTTCGAAAAGTTATGGCATATTATAGGAAATTTGTTCCAGCTTTTGAAACTACCCTTCAATTCTCTGTACGACCATTTGTCACTGAGATATCGATGATTGAAGAACAAAACGATCCTTTTCCATTAAAAGTCCGATATTTTGATGGTCGTATTGAAATTTAAAAGAAAAGGAAATTGAAGTTGAATAAACAAGCTATCTGGTCCATGCAATGGTTTAGCTGAAAAAATTCTTTCAGGTCCGTAGACTCAAAAAAAAAAAAAAATGCAAAATGTTTTTGTCACGCATTTTTCTTAGAATTGTATGATAACCATAGCACCTAAAAAATTTTTACCAAAAGATCTAAAAACTAGAGCTTCAAATTGCTTTTTTTTAATTCCCGATGCGACCATTTTTCACCTAAATACAGTCGGTCAAAAATCATGAAAAAATTTCGGAAATTCTTTTGAGCCTTTAATTTTTTGCATTAGTATAATTGAACCATCCTGTATATGATATTAAAAGAGAATTCATTATCATTACAATCATCTAAAGCTATAGATTTAAATTGTTAGCTAATGTCTCTCATCTTGTATTTTTTGTGCCCAACATTATCGTTACGTATAAAACCGTGTCCGTCTTATGTCTGTGGCTTTTGTAAGGTGTCACCGTTATGCTCTTTGCAGGTATGGTGGCTAACGCTGTGTACGGCCCTGGTGGGATACGTAAAGCCGGGCGACTTTAAGCAAAAGCTGAACAAATACGTGTCCATAATGTGCTTTGGGATATTGTCTAGGGCCATCTCGGCGGTTGTCACTTATCACAACGAGGAGAACAAGCCGAAAAGCGGCATCTGCGTCGCTAACCATACGTCGCCCATAGACGTACTCATCCTGATGTGTGACAACTGCTACTCGCTGGTAGGTTTCTGTGCGTTATTTGTCCGTTTGCCGGCTATTTTATTTCTACATGTTCTTTTCTCCTTTAGCACCTGTAGAAAGAGTGAGTGTTTTGTTAGAAATATGTTTAATTAAAAACAAACTGGTTTTTAACTATATTTTGTTTTGAAATGATGCAGAGCAATTTAAGAATCATCGTACGGGGTGTCTAAGTTGCGGTTTTCTTTTGATCCTGACCTAGAATTAAAGTGGACAAATTTTTCAAATAACGTTTTTGCAAAATCTTAAAAATAAAGGAAAAACCATTTGAAATGCATACGCTTTAATTGCGGTACTTAAAATGGTCCGTATTTATGATTTCGTTTACGGGGAATGTAATCAAAATGCTGCCGTAGGATCACAATTGAATGCCAGACGCTTTCCTTTATAATTTGTGTTCTTGTTGGACATGCTGGAAGACGTATGCCACTTAGATGTTGTTGAAGATCCTACAACGTACAACTAGTAAAAAATCACAAAAAATTAACTTTGTTCATATTTCGTGGAGTAAATTCAAGCGTTATGGCTAAAAGACCATCCTAAAACAGTTTAATTTACCGGCGATACATGTGCAACACATATTTCACCAAAGGACCACGCACCCAATATATGGGATTTTGGTTCCCTGTCGAATTGGTTGCAACAAATTTTTTTCCATAGTATTTGACCTTCTGATAAAAAGTTCTCAAAAGCCTCCTAGAAGGTCTGGCAGTCGACGAGTGTTTGGATATATGAAAGATATGTTATTTCACACAAGCTGTATCACCATACTTGATTATGGTAAACAGGGGGGCGCTGATTACAAATCCGATGTCAGCTAACCTCCATCATGTCAGATTCAAGGTCATCTCAAGGTCAAATTGTGAAAAAACCATTAGAAAAATGTGAAACAGGTACATAGGTTTTTGAGATCACTGAATACGAATATCGGGTTCGATTAAGCCTACAAGGTCACTTAGAGGTCATTCTAGGTCATTTCAAGGCCAAACTGACAATGATTAAGCGTACCTCAGAATTGAATTCAGTGACATCAGGCTTGCCTTAAAGTTCATTGTCACTGTAAAAGTCAGATTCAAAATCGGCACGAAAGGTCTTTCAAGTCTATAACAATTTGTCATGCTCTTCTTAATAAAAGGTTTTTTCTCACTTTGTCCTCTAGATGACTTAAAAATGACCGCTAGGTGACCTTGTAGGCTTAAGCGAACCCGATATTCGTATTCAGTGACCTCAAAAACCTAGGTACCTACTGTTTCACATTTTTCTAATGGTTTTTTCACAAGTTGACCTTGAGATGACCTTGAATCTGACATGATGGAGGTTAGCTTACCTTGGATTTGTAATCAGCACGCCCAAATACTTGTTTACCATAATCAAGTATGGTGATAGAGCTTGTTCGAAATAACATAACATATCTTTCATATATTCAAACTCTCGTCGACTGAGAACTTTTTATCAGAAGGTCAAATACTATCGAAAAAAATTGGTTGCAACCAAATCGACGGGGAACCAAAATCCCATATAGTGGGTGCGTGGTCGTTTGTTCCAATAACACATCACTCCATTTACTTGCAGTGGTATAAATAATTTCTGAAATAAGGAAAGTTTGGTGTATTCGATTGAAGTAAATAAAATGGAGGAATTGCATCATTGCATAGAATACAATGAGAGAATAATTTGGGCAAAATGCTCGCTTTTAACAGCGTGCACAGAGTCGCGAATACTTAGAGTGATAGCTTGTGTGAATGGGAAAATTTTTATTTAAGAAAAAAATATTATTTGAAAATTTTCTTATTACTTGAGCCTGTGTGGTGTTAAGGGGAAAACTCTATGGCCTATGCCTATTTAAATGCATTCATTTCAAAACAAAGTATAATATCTATCATTATTAACCTGTTGCCACTTATTGCCGTTATTAATATAATAAATCGTAGATCGGCCAACGTCATGGGGGTTTCTTGGGATTGTTGCAAAGAGCCTTGGCTAGGGCTTCTCCTCACATCTGGTTCGAGCGATCGGAGACGAGAGACAGACATGCCGTCGCTAAGAGGTAAGGACGGGGACCGAGCGAAAAAAGTTAGAAATGGAAAATGATTGTATAACACTATAATCATTATTAAATTGACAACTAGGTTGAAGGAGCACGTGTCCAACCCGAACAACCCGCCGATCCTCATCTTCCCCGAGGGCACCTGCATCAACAACACCTCCGTGATGCAGTTCAAGAAGGGCAGCTTCGAGGTGGGCAGCGTCATCTATCCCGTGGCCATCAAGTACGACCCGAGGTTCGGCGACGCCTTCTGGAATAGCAACAGGTACTCCATGCTGCAGTACCTGTACATGATGATGACCAGCTGGGCCATCGTCTGCGACGTGTGGTACCTGCCGCCCATGCACCAGGAAGAGGGAGAGACTGCCATAGACTTCGCCAACAGGGTCAAGAGCTCCATCGCTAAGCAGGGCGGACTGGTCGATTTAGTGTGGTAAGTGATAGTTCGTAGGAGAGTAAATTTTGGTCCTTCGAGCCGGATTTTATTGTGTTGAGTTCGTTTCTTCTGTGTTATTTTAGGGACGGCCAGCTGAAGCGGGTGAAGGCGAAGAAGGAGTGGCGGGAGAGGCAGCAGGAGGAGTTCAGCAAAACGCTGAAGGCAGAGTAGATCGCCCGCGCGCGACGTCACATTAGTATTATCCCATTTATCTAGGCGCTAAGTTTTTATAATACATTGATTTTCAATGTGTCACTTTGTTTTTTGCCAATTTTAAATCGTTATCGTTGTCTGATTTCCCTGATCCGCAAATCTAGTCCTCATCTTTAGTTGAATCGTGATATTTTACGTGAATCAATTGGGTGTTTGTTAACAATGTATAGTAAGATATAAATGTCCGTAAGCGGGAGTGCTTATTCACTTCACTGGGTCTGTGTTCATTTTCTGCGCATCCGATCGCCACCTGTAGGGGTTAGCTAGAAATAAAAACTTTTTTCCAGGGGTTAGAAGCTGCATCTCCATTGCGATTGGCACTTGTTTGGCTGTGAGGTACTGTCGTTAAAAGGGCTCTGTAGCAAATAGGCAACCGGCGCAATACATTTTTATAGATTTTATCACACAGTTTGTCTAAATATGAATCGATGCACAAATAACAGACTTTCCTCCATTCTAACGCAGATTTTCTATAAAATTGACTTAGTTTGAAACTCATATAACTCTTTGGTGTAAAGTAATTTGTAATTTGCCGCATTTGAACAAGTAAATTACAAATTTCTTTACACCAAAAAATTATTTGAGATTCAAACTAAATCCATTTTATAGAAAATCTGCGTTAGAATGGAGGAAAGTCTGTTATTTGTGCATTGATTCATATTTAGACAAAATGTGTAATTAAATCTATAAAAATGTATTGGTGGTTGCCTATTTGCTATAGAGCCCTCTTAAGGTACGCTAGTAATGGCAATTCAATCGATGGCGGTCAAGTTTAGAGATGGTAATACTAGATGGCGACACACAAAAATATTCCTGTCACTTCTTTACACAGTAAATGGGTTGACAGGGATTTTTAGGGAGAGTCGCCATCTAGCGTTCGTTTCTAAGTTTAACTAAATAATTACGCAAACAAAGATTGTAGACAGTATAGAACCGGATTTTTATCACTTTTTCGAAAGCGTTACTCCCGGTTTGATAGAAAACCGTGACATGTCGACTGTTAAGTCAGACACTGTCGATTGTAATGGGAATGCGGCTTTAGATCGAGGCTATTAACATAATAGTACGATTCTGAGGCGCTCGTTTTGGCTGCAAAATTGACTTTGACGGTAACTGTTGTGTTATCGACCTTGTTGATTGGCTTTTTCAATAAAACGGTTTTCGGACGTTACTGATTTTCTTGTTCAGTGTTGTCGATAAAAGCAGCATCGAGTCGGTGGCGCTCAAACAAGCATCGATTGAAATGGGGATGTAAGCGTTTAGTATTTGTTCGTGTAACGTAACGCACATTTTTTAAATCGCACAAGAGAACGGGGGGGATTGCTTCGTTATGGATGTCGGAAGTGAAGTGAATAATTGTCTCCGTTTTCAATGAACACGGATTTTTAGCGTAATTATATAGCTCTTAGTACTATTTATTGGAGGAACGGTTAGTAATATGAAGTAGGGTTAACGTTAAAAGGACAATACGTTGTTTTTTTTAAATGATACCTAAGTTAAGCTTAATCATGTTTTCATTGTGAATTTTATACAAATTTTTGCTAGTTATTATTTGTGATTTGAATTTGTAATATACTGATAATAAGAACTGAAAAAATAGCATTTATTTTGTAATATTTTTGTATACGAGTGGTGTTTAGTAGGGCCTCTATCACGTGTAGTCAGAGTAGTGTCAAATTCGTTTCTAGCTCTAGGTTTGTAAGTATTTATTATAGTGTAAATAAAAAAAAATTATAATTTAATTCCGAGAAATATATCATTTATACAGTAAGTTGCCGTTTAGTTTATTTTGTGAAAATTTATGGGTGTCCCATTTTAATGTACCAGGCCGCATAATATTTTTAATCCGACTTTCATAAAAAAATATTTCAAACCAACGTTATAAGGTTTCGAGGTGGTCAAATCATGGTGACCTTGAATTTGACCTTGAAGACAATTATCGGGGTCATTTCAAGGTCAACCTTGATTTTTAAATGGAAACCCATGTTTTCATTACAGTGAGAGTTGCTTTGGCTGTACAGCAAAAATAAGACGCTCTCTCAATGGTAAAAATAAAGTTTTTTATTGAAAACTAAGTTTGTAAAAAAAAGTCAGGGCGAGTGTTTGCTGGAGAGTCCCTCTTGGTGTGGAGTCACTCGCAGAAGTACCTGGTCCTTGGCGCCAATCTGCCATCGACCCTTTTTTTTTGGAACCCTGTTGCGTCCCGATTGGCGTCAGACTGGCGCTATTGACGTTGTACTTAAAAATGGGTCACTTGCAGCATGTATACCCACAACAGTTTCATATTCTGCAGGAAAAAATACGTAACTTTTGTATGAAACCACTTTTTGAAAATGATTTGCTCTCGCCATAGTGCGCTATACTTTTACTGTTCTATATTAATTCTCAATATCTAATATCTCAAAAAATAAGCAGGATAGTGAAAAATATTTCCAACAAAAGTTGGCTGGTTTCGGGGGGACAAATTACTTTGACCTTGAAATTAACATTAAAGTCAATTATCAATGTCAACCTTGATTTTTTAAATGGAAACCATGTTTTTATACCAGTTTCATATTCTGCGGGAAAATATACGTATCTTGTATGTAACATTTTTCTTGAAAAGTCTTCCTGTAATAAAAATATAGGTTTCCATTTAAAAAATCAAAGCTGACCTTGAAATGACCTTGATATTTGACTAAGGTAAATTTCAAGGTCACGGTAATTTGATCCCCCCGAAACCTGACAACTTTGGTTGGAAATATTTTCATCATTCGGCTGTATTTTTCAGATATTAGCCTGAGAAATAAAATGGGACACTAAAAGTATAGCTTACGCTGGCGAGAGAATGAAGCATTTTCAAAAAAATGTTTCATACAATAGTTACGTATTTTTTCCCACAGAACACGAATCTACAATAAAAAAAATATGGGTTTCAATTAAAAAAATCAAGGTTGACCTTGAAATGACCTTGATAATTGAGTAAGGTTATTTTCAAGGTCACGGTAATTTGATCCCTTCGAAACTTTACAACTTGCTGGAAATATTTTTCATCATTCGGCTGATTTCTTAAGATTTAGTCTGAGAATTAAAATAGAACAGTAAAAGTATACCACACTCTGGCGAGAGAACAAAGCATATTCAAAAAAATTTTTAATACAAATGTTACATATTTTTTCCTGCAGAAGGTTGACCTTGAAATGACCTTGCGACTTGACAGGTTAATTTCAAGGTCACGGTAATTTGATCCCCCCGATACCTGACAACTTTTGTTGGAAATATTTTTCATCGTTTTGGCTGATTTCTTGAGATATTAGCTTGATAATTAAAATGGAACAGTAAAAGTATAGTGAGTGCACTCTGGCGAGAGACAAAGCAATTTCAAAAAAATGTTTCATACATAAGTTACATATTTTTTCCCACAGAACACGAATCTGCAATAAAAAATATGGGTTTTCATTTAAAAAATCAAAGATGACCTTGAAATGACCTTGATCATTATCTTCAAGGTCAAAAAAATTAAGGAAATAAACTCATATTTTTCCAATTTTCGTTATATCCTTTTTTATTTCAGTTAAATAACTTCAAACTTACAGATTAGTAGAGCTCAGGGTTTTCGTGGGCTAGTCATAGGCGTGTTCGTCGTAAACAAATAAGTAAACGAGTAAGTATAAATAAAAATAAATATTTTTGCATACTTAAAGTTAAAACACATATATACGAAGCAAACATGAAGCCAATAACTGGCGTTATTACTGGTTTTGTACGTGGCGTTGTAGCGAAAGGTCGACACGACGGCTATGATCATCCGACCGAGTCCCAAACTCTACAGATGAGGTTACCGTAAAGCTTTCATAAATGTTTACAAGCCATGAGATGCTGAGCTTAGGCAACCACATTACAGGGCTGGTATCGTCAACTAAAAATTCTTAAATCGGTCATGACGTTGATTCGTTTATAATGAACAATGACAAATCATTGTGTTTACGCTCAAGATGCGATCACTAATTGGTTAAATAAAAACTCGTGAAAAATTACACTAACCAGACCTGGTGAATCAGAATGTTGTGTTTTAATGTAATGTTGGTCCTACTGTTTTAATAATTTTTAATTTTACCGAAACATAATTGCCAACGCGAAGCATGTAAAATTACTATTCCAAACAAAATTACTGGTCATCTGGCTTGTAATCATTTATGAAGGCTATGTAGATGGTGATATTCCTAAAAAATCCCTGTTATCTTTGTAATGTAAGAGTCGAAGGAGTTCTTGGGAGTCGTCATTTGGTATTTTGATTCACAAGTTTGACTGGTTGTCTAACTATCAATATATACAGAGTGTCCCTTTTAAAAATCCCTAGCCGAATTTCTCAAAAACGGAAGGTAATCCCAATAAATAGCATTAATTGCGAGTCGTTTATTATTGTCACTTTTGTCATACAGGATACAAATAAACAGTAAAATCTAGTGGACGTACACTCGTGAAGAAATCTAATTAGAAGCTACTTGACCACAAATAATGGTAACACTAATATAAGACGAAAACAAATAAGTACAGGCAGTCCTCGAGATACGTCGTTTCGAGTTGCTTTGGACAATATTTTAACACCAGTCCTCAATCTAACGTCAATGGTTTCGAGATATGTCATGGGCTATTTCACTTGTGCCGTCATCGGTTTCGCAAGCATTGCCATAAATATATTTAAGGAACATGATTCAAATTTTGAAAGAAAATGTTAATAACAAAATTATTACTTCCTGTTAGTGTTATCCAGAAATGTATGAAAACAAGAAAAAAAAGCGAAACAAACTCGAATTGATACGTTTTTTAAACCAATGGTTTAGTTTTTATTACAGTTCTTTCTATTTTTTTAATTGTGCCATAATTATTTACCAAATACATGTTTGTTTTGTAAATAAAGTATAATTATTTAATAATGTAGTTTTTTTCTGATAGAACCTAAAAAAGGTAAAGATCACGAAGCTTACCGGCAATTAGGCCATGCTTGGCCCTTTTAGCCTGCTAACTTACACTACCCTCCACCTTAGCAATCACAAACATCCATGGGTACGACAAGAAAATTCCTTCAAATTTTCCTGCCGCATGCGGGATTATAACCCACTACGGTTTTACCATGTAGCCCTGGTCGACCTCAGTCGGAAGGCCTTGGCAGCTTTGGCTAACTCCTTCACTTTATATAGAAATGGATGAAAGAAAATGTATCGACTTACGTCATTTCGATTTACGTTGTTTATTTTGAGAACTGAACATGTAAGTACGACTGCCTGTATATGATGGAACTGCAAATGTAACATAAATGAGGAAAATATACTTGGGAGAAAAGAATTTAGTAAAACAAAACTAATAGACTTACCTCATAAAAGCAATTCTAAATAAAATGAACACAAAAAATCTGTATAAGACTTTTGCAAACAGTATCTAAAGAAAAACTATAAATAGTCCCAATGATTGAAATATTGCATAATTTACATCCTGGCGAATGCCGCAAACACTAAATTTTATTGTAGAAAATAAAGCTTCGAGAAAACGACCAGTTTTAAGATTTCTATGGATTGACGAGAATCAATTTGCAAATATAAACAGCAATGGACCAATAAGGTGACCTGCCCGCATCCCTTATTTAATCCCAGTTGAGTTTTTCTTGCGGGGTTAACTAAAAAGCTATCAAACAGTCATCGAAGACTTGGCTGATTTGTGTGACAAAATTCTAACACGGGAGCTGTGCATCTGTTCCTCGAAATATTTATTTACAGGCAACTGATACCCAATTTAGAAAAAAATTAGATTTATGTATTCTTGAGAATGGTTGCAATTTTGAACAAATATTGTGACTTGTTTATGTTAATTTAGTATCCTTTACAATTTTTGTCAATTTTGCATCATTTTGTTAAATAAATATTGCATTATGTCGACTGAAATTACTTATTTGTATAAAAAAAAAATGAATCAATTTTACATTAGTTGAGTATTGTCAAATTTGATTTGATTCTCGCTGTAGGTTTTAAACATTTATTACAGTGTAAACGTCAAAATACGAATTTATATAATGAAACAGTAACTTCGAAACCTTGATCTTCCTTTCTAAATTAAATGAAAATGGTAAACGTCAATCTTAAAGTTAAAATTACAACAAAAATTATATTGTGATTTAAATTTAATAAAACGGAAAAATTATATAACTACAACTGTAGAACGTAACTGTTTATTCCAAAATTTTTTGCTTCTCGAAAAGTTCAATGAGTTCCTGTTCTGAGGATTTTTCCAAATTAGCTGGTTGAGACAACTCTTCATTAGGAAACTGTACCAAATTCAATCTTGGATCTCTGAAGGTGTAGGGAGTCCATGGTCCCTGAATGGAAGGGTGATCCGAGTACCAAAGTTTACGAAGTCTATCGCCGGTGTGATTTTTCGATTGGGTCTTTAATAATGTAAGCCATTTCAATATTTCTTCTTGGGTGAAATTTCTACACGTTATCCATTGAGTGTCACCATTCACTGAGGGAGGAATTACTGACTAAACGATAAAGTAAAATAATCGGATTACTTACAGTATTCGGCTTTTATTACTGGGGAGCGATGTCTTCTCGGTTTCAGATAAACGACTACCCCTGGGTTTTCTTTTGCGTAGTTCACTAATCCAGATTCGATGAATTCTCTGTAAATAAAAAGTGGTAATTTGTTTGAAAGTACAATTTGTGAAATATATAACTTAACCTCATTCCTCGACTAGATCCGTGGTTTTTACAAAATTTAAGGACTACTCTTTGCAACTGACTGATGTATCGTCCTACCCCATTTTGTAAAGGGGTGGAAATAAAAACCGGATTTAAAAATAAATGACTATTTGACATTATTTCTCTATAATCTAATTTGGTGTTAGCGCTATCGTCACGAAATAGAAAGGAAGGTTATGTTATGTTGTTTATTTAATTTAATGACAGTTCAAGAGAAGCTCAAGAGATGGTACCACATACACACTTTTAAATTTTTTGCAACAAATTAATTCTATCTGAATTACAACATTCTTCACTCCTGTTAACGATAATCTAAAAATTATTTTCTGTTAACTAGTTCAGTTGACAAAAAGAAGAATATAATGAATTAAATAGTTAAATATTATTCAGCAAGCTTGATTTTGAAATAACCATTTCTGTGGACTGTGGAATACGCCTTAATTTGTATTTGCCTTTCGTCTTGTCTCGGCTAAAATCGCTTCGTATTGTTAGCCGCCAAAGTTTCTAAAATTGCGATCCTTTCTAGTTTTTTTTATGTTTTTGGATAACTAATTTTCAATGTGCATAAAAATATTAAAATCATATTGAGTGTAAAATATTATGTAGTTAATCAAAAGCTCCACATTCATCTTCATTTTGTTGGTAAATAAATTTGATATTCATTTTGTTTATTGAGGTTATGGTCAAATAAATTTGAAATGATTCCAGTACTTACTATATTTCAAAGTACCTTAAATCGTCATTTTCCTGGATTGTTTATCCTTTTTGTAAATTTTATTGTTAAAATTTCATATAGGTACCTATCTAGGTTTTGATTTTTATTTTTATTCATGGCTATTTGGTAATTAGATATTACTCTTCATTTGTTAGTTTTTCTATAGATACAGTTAACTAGCACATAATTTATAGCGAAAGTTTTGTGTTTGTTAGTGGCCCTTTTAGAAATGCTGAAACATTCATTTGCTGCCTAAATCATGGTTGAGACTGCCAAAATAATTTGGTAAGTACCTATATATATTATTTCACATTGTCGTTAGACTGGTAGATCATTAAATCTAATAGGTATCCTACTTGAAATTATTATGAACAAGAGAATATATTCGTATTATGTCAAACTGATATATCCAGACAAAGGCTAAATTATTGCACAAAAATAAGCAATAATAGACGGTAACTTCCGGTGATATTGGTCTGTTGGCTTCATACGGTAACGCTTGGGCGATGACGCGTAAATGGCATGTTTTCATATTGTTGTACTTGCCCTATTGTGTGGTACTTTGTTTTCTGCTGATAGCCGAGGTTAAAAATGCTTTCAATAGTCGAATATGTGACTAGCATTCGCATCCATGTAAAATTATTACGTACCTACTGTTATACATATAAGGAGTTCCAGACTCTTGTATAAAGCGTTCATTTCTTCTTTTTTTTCAGTGTTTAATACACATTTTTTGCTACAGATAATTAACTCACTTTTTCATAGCTATGTTGATAAAGAAAATGTGTTTCGAAAATGTGAGTTTTGATGGAGGATAAAAGGGTGGTGTTATTGTGGTGTAATTGTTAACAAAAATAATAAAACACACATTCAAGAAAGCTGAGATTTAAATAATTGTTTTCGGAATTCGGAAACTTTGAATTGACTGCCTACTTAAGTCTGGAAATCTAGTATTTAATATTACTCCAGTGTCTCCAGTCGAATTCGATCATAAAACTTGAAAAAATGTTTAGTAGATATTAGACACGTTCTAATCCGATTGGAGTATTTAAGACTTCTGATGAGTTGTAGATAGATACATAGAAAAATAATGTTTTTAATTTATATTATATTATTATTTATACTATTTTCGCCATGCTATCTATTTAAAAAATGTTCCGAATGTGACGAACAGCAAGCGGCAACGTAATGAGGAAAGTAATTGCCGTTACACAATATCTCCATTTGATGGGTTCCCGGACAAAATGAATACTTCAAAGTTTAACTCCGTATTATGGAATGTAGTGCTGAAAATACAAATGTTTAATTAATTTTCCATTTAAAGAGATTAGAGTCATCCATCAAAGCGGTCGACCGTGCCGGCTTCCCGGGGATGCCCGGGATTGTTATTGACAACCCCCTTTTATAATGTTATCGATGGTACTAGCCAGGCCGTGCTGAAATGTTGATGTGATTAAAACCGGGTTTTTGTTATTGCTGCAGTTTACGCGCCACGCGAGACGGGGGGGATTAATGTTCCCATTGTTTTTATTTTAATTGCCCTGCCCGTGATGGAGCATGTTAATTTCGTAATGATATCGTGGGGGAAATTGCGTTCTACCTCCCTGGCAGCGTGAAAATATCAATAGTTTCCACGCGCTCATTTTTTTTATATATAGGTATCTGGTTTAGAAAAAAAACATAATTAAATAGTTACTTCAGGACTTTGCCATGCATTTCCAATTAATTTGTGTGTGTATCTCGAAAAATAAACGAGATTCATGGCATTTAAAAATTTTTTTTTTTCAGAAATACCTAATTAAACAAAAAAATAATTTTCGAAGTTTTTAAACCATCAAATACCAATGAAACCTCGAAAATTGCAAAATATATAGAAATAGATCGAAAACTTGAGGAAATTTTAAATTACATAATTAGACATATTTCGAAATACCTTAAAATTATTCGAAAAACTTCGATTCTCGAAAATTTTACAAACTTTCTAAAGACATTGTCTGAGGTTATTTGTTTGTGGCATAGTTTTCGTTTTTTTCTTTTAATTTTTGGGTTTTTTGACAGTTCTGAAAATATTTAAAAATTAGTGAAATAAATCAACCCTTGCGGCATCAGTAAGGGGTTATTTTTATAAAAATAATTTTGCCAAATCGAAAAAAATCTCACACTGAAATAGATAAATACAAAATATAGTACAAAAATCACACAACTTAAAAAAAGTTGCTGAAATTTCGAAAATCTATCTGTTTTGGTCTTCTGAACTTTTTTTGACATTTCGGTTTAGTTGCTTTGACAGTCAAAAAAATGTTCAGATGACGAAAACCGATAGATTTTCAAAACGACAGCGAGTTTTTAAAGTTCGTGGTACAAAGTGATGTTTTTTGTACTATATTTTGTATTTGTCTGCTTTTTCAGTGATTTTTTTTGTTAGGGAAAACTATTTTTTATAAAAATAACCCTTCACTGCTCCTTTTGGTGTAGGGTTTATTTCTATAATTTTAATTTTTTTTTCTCAAAATATCCAAAATATTTCTCAAAAGCTTTCAAGAATTTCTGAAACTTCGAAATACTTTAAAAACTTTTACTACAATATCTTATATACCACAAAAATATCTCGAAGTTCTCTAAATACGTCGATATACCCCGAAAATCTCAAAATATTACAAAAACTTCGCAATGTTTGAAAAACCATAAAATACATTCGAAAATTTTAAAAAACTACAAACCCTAGGCTTAGAAATACCACAAAAACCTTCGAAAAACTCTCTAATTACATTGAAACATCCCGAGAAACCCCAAAATGCGTCGATGTACCTATCTCGATGATTTCGAAAACTTTAAAATATTTATAAAACTTTCAAATACCTCAAAACTCAAATAATTCGAAAACTTCAAACTGTGTACTTAGAAACACTTCGAGATACTTGAAAATCCTTCAAGCTACCCTTAAATACATCTGAATATATTCAAAGCCTCTAAATATGGAAAATTTCAAAATTTCTCAAAAGCTTTTACAAATTTCTAAAACTTTGAAAGTCTTTAAAAACTTGAATTATCTCATATTACATCAAAATATCTCGAAAATCCCTAAATACGTCGATATATCCTGAAACTTTCAAAATATTTCAAGAACTTCGAAATATTTGAAAAACCGCGAAATAGTTTGAAATACATACATTCAAATCACATATTTAGAGATACTTCAGAAGGTTTTGAAATATCTCTAATTACACCAAAATATCTCAAAATATTGTCTGAAGTTATTTATTTGTGATACATAGTTTTATTTTATTTTAGTCTCTGTTTACGGGAATTTTTCTGCTTGAAAAAAAAAAGTGACAAAAACAGATACATAGGCAAAAAGGACCAGGCAATAGCTATTTTTATCAAACTCTTTTTGTTTAAACAAAAATCTCACAATGCAAAAGAAGATAAATAAAAAATTAAAAATACACATACTGTGCCTACTTTAATTAGTTATCCTTTCAAAAATTAATCTATCATTTTCAGTTCTAAGAACGTTTGTTGTTTAATTAAGATTGGCAGTTTTCAAACAGATTGATTTTCGAAACCTTAGCTAATTGAAATACATGATACAGTGACGTGATTTCTTCGTCCGATACTGCAAACACACATCAAACGAAGCAACTCGTGTAAGTTTTGCAAGCAGTGCTGTAATATTAAGTAATGAAACTATAAGTAGACCACAAAGCCCTCTGTACAGTTCCAATAACAGACCCTAATGACACCTCATTAAAGTCCCTCTGAAACTTTCTTGGAAAATACTGAAATAGATCTAATGATACCCTTAATCCGGCGATCGATGGACCATTAGATATTCCTCCGCATACCCGATAGGCTCCTTATAATTAGAAATTAAATAATAGATGTTTTTCCCGTCGGAAGATCGCGTGCAGCATTCACAGAAAATAAACATATTTAGAGAGACATGGAAAGACAAGCGGGTCAATTTGTTATTCCATTAATTTATAACATTTCGTAAAACATTCAGGGGTATCGACGTTTCGGGGAGTTAATGGCCCTTCCCCAGGGAACGGGCCAGGTGCGGTGGCGTTTTATGTAGTTTTGATGTTGCCAAGTTTTATGTACACTGTGTCGGTTTAAGTCGCAAGTGTCGACTTGTCCCAATCGATGTTTAGTATGTTTTGGTATTTTTGACGCTGAAGAAGCGTACATGCTAACGGATATTTAACAAAATGTAGCCCAGAGACCGCAGACAGTGGCAATCTAGATTTAAATCAGCTATGAATATAATTGCTTCAATATTAGGTATTATTAGTGTCAAAATTTTTATTTCCTCTTTTGAAGCACTTTTCAAAGAAATTATTGTTTGATACACAATTATGTGTCGCTTTAGCCAAAATATATTTTTTTAGTTGCTGGCGTTCGCAACAAAATTCAACATTTTTTAATCCAAAAAATATACATCGCAATCTAGAATGAATAA